GCGCGGGCGGGCAGCTTATTATGCGAGCGCAGCTGTGCGCCGTCGAGGCTTTGTCGGCGGTGTGTTGCATTATCGTCCGCGCCATTGTGTTCCTATGCGCCCTTAACGCGGCAGCGACATGCCAGATTCCTAAAGCTGCCTCGTCGCTGATAAGCGAGCGGCGATCTATAGTTCAATTAGTTCTGCTTCTCTTGCCGCGAACCGTTTCGATTCGAAAGAGAACAAGCCGATTATATAAAACTGGTTTTGCGTGCGAGCGCGCGAATTGCTCACTGGGCGGAAGTGCCTTCTTTTTGTTTTTACCCCGCGGTGCCCGATGATCTCGTGTAATTGAATTTTTTGATTGTTTTTCCAGTGGATGGTACGCTTTGGAGCCGCGTTTTATCTGCGAAAATATTGCGGGACAAATGCAAGAGAAGTCCAGCCCACTTGCACGAATAAATAATTAAAAAAAGAGAGACGCGCTCGCTCCGCTCGAACGACATAATTCGTCTTTGACAAAGCACAGAAAGGAAACGCAGAGCGTTGTTAAAAAGGGCTGCAATTCGTGAAATAACGGAAGATAAAAGAATCCTTCCGTTAGCCTTGTTGCATTGTCGATCGTTTTCACGCTTTGAATTGAAATCGTAGGTGATTTTTGGTCGCCAAGCGAAGGGCGATTTCGACTGTAATCCGATTACGACGAAAAGATAACTTTTCCCCTCGAAGACAGAGAGAACTGGAAGGCAGTTGTAACTAGGCGAGTAGTATGGCTAATTTAATTTGACGCGATATGGTTTAACGTCCGTCGTATGTGTTACTCGTGGAAAATTGGTAACGAACGGCGAGAGAGACAATGGCGGTTCAACTTCGCTTGTTAGTCGGCAAATTGAAAGGATAAGGATGGAATTGAATGTGAGAATATTATTCTGTAACCGAAACTGTGAGCTCGATCTCTAGCCAATTAACCGATTTGCCCAGACCATTAAATCAATAACGGTCCTTCGCGACAGAGCTTTGATTCTTTCAGTACTTCATTTTCACTTGAATAAATTATTCTATTAGGATTATCCGCGATCTCTTCTCCCCTAAAATAAACGGTTGGATTTATCCGCTATATATATAATGATGAGCAATGAATGGTTAGATTTGGTATCGAAGGCTATTAACACTTGAGATGCGCGGCAACATCATCGCGGCTTGTTTGCGCGATTGTAACTCTCAACAATGTGCATCACTCTTAATAATTGTGTGCGCTCTAATTATTTCGAACCACTTATTTGCAATGAGTCCGCGACACTATTTATAGCAATCGATTGATTGGATTAATTAGCGAATCGCCTGTGACATCATTGCTGCAAGGAACGGAATTTCGAGAGTGTCGCACACAAATGCACTTAATCCTCGACATTCATCTGAAATCAATAGACCCTGTCAACTATCTCTCAACTCGTCGTTCGTATGCACAACCAAATTATTGACGCTGTCGTGCACAGCTTTCAATATCGCAGATGAAGTGCAAAATAACATCTTCGATTATTCATCGCAAGATAATAATCAATAAAGCTCTTCGGGGATCAGTCGAGCATATAAACAAGGCCGCACTGCTAATTATTGGACCAAATAACAGTAGTTTGACCCGATGCTGATTAAAAGCTGATTAGCCGGATTGAACCTCAAAGGAGTGATCATCATCTCTATGGATCCCCGAGCGTCCACGCGCGCAATCTACTCAATGCTAATCAATCATTGAAACATCGACAGTATTCCTCTCAGTGGCAAGATATGGGCTACTTATGACCGAAATCCGGCCTTTCTAATTTTGCAATTCGCGATTACGAAAGACCTAACCTTCTCGTCGACCTATATAATTTTCTAGGCGGCCACGCAAAACCTCTCTCAGAGGAATACGTTCAGTGTATTAAACGTGACGTTCGAGTATTTGAAAGGCCTATTAAATTCATCAGAGGAAAGTTTTTATAAATTTTTATTTGACAGGCGGCGCGCGTGCGAGCGGCGATGAAGTGCGTAATACGGGAGCTTGCGCTTGCAAGAGTATCGCGGATGAGAAATTCAAGAAGCACTTCATAAAAGCTCGTTTTCTTCAGTTTCATTAATTAGGCTGCGTTAAGGTCAGCTTTCAATCACCCCCCCCCCCCCCCTCTCTCTCACACCCTCCAGAAGCTAGAGAAAAATAATAACCGAAATTAGTCTCGGTCTCCGAGCTTTATTAGCCTCCCGCGGGCACGTTATGCATCGAACGTGCACTGATTCTTACCGTACGCGTTTCCTCTTTTTTTTTAAGTGCTCGTTTCCCTGACGAGACGAAGAGCCATGCTAATCGCGGAAAACTGCACGGTATCCAGCAAAAGTAAAGAGGAATCGAAAGTTCCAAGGGTCGGCTAAGACTCACTGAGGGAACGTCGGATTGCGCGCGAGAGCGTTAAGAGTGCGCGACCTAATTAATGCTAATTACACGAGCCGCCCTCGACTCTCCGAGTGCACGTGTGTGCGAGCGACGTTCGATTGAATGAGGAAATCGAAAGTGCGCCTGTTGGCAATTCCGGGCTTCGTCACACGTCGATTGTTGCCTAATTAATGGGCTATTTCTATTTATTCAGAGAAAGAGAGCAGAGTTGTTCGCATTCCATACTCCTCTAATCGTGACTTTTGCGAAGAATGTTGACCTGGCATCGAGCGCTCGATTGACTTGTATAATTAATCACTCGCGTATGGAATGGCTTTAATCATCGTTGGAAGCGGATGTTCTTCTGAAAACATTCGAATACCCGCGATTGTCGGTCGACCTCGTCAGTCGCCTGGAATCACTCGTGTATCCGATCAGAACGAAAATCATTCGCTGTTAGAGTCCCTTCAACTCAACGGTTAATGTAGTATAATTTCGAAGCCCACTCGAGTCAAACAAAGCTGTCGCTTCTCTCTCTCTCTCTCCCTCTCTTTGTAAAGAAAAAAATTACCTACCGAGGTATAATAGAAAAATTTATCATTCCCAGGCGCACGTTCCAAAAGGTGCATTGTCGGCGATTTATGTAAGGGCCGCTTCTCTCTCTCTCTCTCTCTCACTCTCTTTCTCTCAAGGCCAAAATTTATGTAACGCTTGCGCAAGCGTCGCGCGTTGTGTGCGCCGGGAGGTCGACGCTCCCGAAAACAGCGTCGCGTGCCAATTTCCAAGCTCTCTGCATTTGCATAAAGAGAAATGGCCGAACGGCGGAGATATTTTTTTGCGGCTCGATGATCTTCAATAGAGACCCCTTTACACGCGAGAAAATCATTTACCTTCAATTTTCAGCGGATCTAGGGCGCAGATAGATGCAATGTCGGATACGCGCGCTTGGCTGGCTCCTCGGGGATACGTTTTGAGAAAGTGAGTTTTCGCTAACTTTCGCGCGAGACGCTTTTTCCCGCGCGCCGGCACCGCGCCAGATCTTTTTTTTCTGAATAATGAATGTGATTGATACGTGTTAGTTATATCTTGAGCTGTCCGGGGAGTTGAACTTTTTTCTTTCTCGTATATTGATAGATAGACTCATTCGTATTCATTCCAATTTCGCGGCAAAATATTTCCTGGCAACACGCAAAAGTAAAAGAAAAAAAAAAAAAAAAACTAATTCGTTGGAAACAAAAAATCCACGCGGAGGCGCGAACGCTCGACAAATTGACCGTAAGTGAATACGACGTCCAACGTTCTAATTCGTGTTTTGCAAGTTGACAGCGATCAGTGCAAATTGGATAATCGTCATGGCGGATCATTGGACGAGCGAGAGAGAAAGAGCTAGGAACTGCATGCGACGTGCGACATCACGCCGATGCAATTATCTCGATCCCTCCCCCCATTCCCCTACCTCTCCCGAGCGCGCGATCGCCCGACCGCCCTCTTTTTTTACGCGATAATGCGACACGCGTGAAATTTCTGCTTTGCGATGGATGTTGCGCAAATGCCCATTGTTAAAAATTGTCATCTTGTTGCGCGTTTATTATTCTCAAGCGAACGCCTATGGCTCGTTTTTTTCCCCTCCAGGTTCGTTAATTCGCGGCGAGCCTTTTTTGCGCTCGCTGTACTTGTTGTTTTTCTATCGACAAATTTCATTTTCGACGTAGCGTTTTCTTTGTTTCTTGCTAATTAATTTCCGTAGAAGCAAGTAATTTCCTGGAATATCGAGGTTTTTAATGAACATCTGCCTTTTTTACAACTACGAAGGTATTTTTTTAATTGGACTAAGCTCCGCAAAAAGATCACTAATTCGCTTGTAGATAGAGGGAGAGAGAGAGAGAAAAGGACGTCGTTTCCGGATATCCCGTGCGTCAACGGTAAAAAATTAAGCGACGCGCTGGCTGCGATGGGAAATCGAACACAAAAAAAAAAAGCGATCGTCCTTCGGACATCGAGACATTACCGCGGACTTAAAAATAATCGCCGCCAATCTGTCCCACGAGACGTAGGTCGTCGTCACGCGTGTCCATACCTCGCATCGATAATTCAACGCAGGAAGCTTTCGCGCGTCGGCTGCTCGGCTAAATAATTCACCGGGCGGCCGTCTGCCACACACATGTGCGTATGTGCTAATCGAATTGTTTTGCCGTCTCCGCAAGAACTTTTTTATTTGCTGGCCGTCTCAAGGTTGCGACGTCCGCGTCGTTTTTCGCCGGCCGAGAGGGTGAAAGTTGTCTCCTACGCGCAGCTGGCACGCACTTTCGAGCAATTCGAATGTGTTGCTCGGTAAATTCATTCGGTCCGCCGAGTCGCAACTTTTCCATGGCGCTAGGGAACGTCAATTGCGAAAATAAACGGCGAACCGATTAACGAGCGAAGCGAAGCCGAAAGCACCCGTGTACTCGAAACTCGATCAAACCAACGCGCGCGTCGGAAAATAGCGCTAAAGTTCCAAAGGCGTTCGCCGATTTATTTGCTCGGGGGCTTATCGTCTCGCCCGCATGCTAAATAGAAAATGGCAGGCAGCTGCGCTCATTATCACGGCAGTTCTAATCCGTTCCGTTTGCAGGTGCAGGTCGTGATGCGTCATCGTCGGAGGTCGACGACAGCAAGAACGACGGCGTTGTATTGTTGATGCCGCACAGAGGTATCTTCGACGCCTTCGACGACGACGACGACAGTGATGCCGATGACGATACGATGGGTACTAGCATGTGGCCTCCGTTCCACTTCAACAGCAATCCATTCAATGACCTGTTCGTCAGGATGCAAGGTACGATATGTGAGCGCTTCTATGAATGCGTTACGGAGGTACTCGTTAATGTTTCGTTTGTTCAACGCGCAAAACGAAGTCAAGGATCGAGAGAGAGAGAGAGAGAGAGAGAGAGAGAGAGAGAGAGAGAGATTCGCACAAAGTCGACAGGAAATGCGTTCGAGGCTCGACAATGCAGGTTATTATGCGCTCTGTCGTTTAATAGCAAATGCTTCTTACGAGAATATTCGTTTTCTGCTTGAGATTGCTCTTTCTGACGCAGAAATACAATTCGAGCTCAACGAAAATTAAGCTTTGTTTAATTAAGACTGAAGTTGAGATAAATGGTTTTATCAGTAAACTTGGTTGCTCTCTCGGGCTACTTTGACAATTCCCTCAGAAACAAGCCCTGCGCTAACCCCAAAATTCGCGCAAAGAGAAAAAAGAGCTTCCCTTGTTGCAGCGAGGACGAAGCAAGAAGACACGCTCAACGGCAAATTAATTAAGAATCGGAGCCGTGAAGAAAAAAGGCTTAAAAGCTTCTAGTTTGAACAATCGAGCTTCGCCCGGCAGCGTCGCTACACTGCCGTATTAGGGTCGCGCGTGGGCTACTTGCAAACGAGTTCGCCCACATTACCTCGCACTATAGCTAAAACTTTCCGAAGTTGCCGTTGCCTTTTTTCAGCGAATGCCAAAGTTGCGCTTGGAGCTTTTTAGAAAGGTAAAAGTCCGCGTTGAAAAAGGAAATTAGCTTAATGGATGATTATCGATCGTTGAACTATCGAGCCTGACAGAACTGCTGATTACTTGGAAAATCTGGCGCAAGTGTTTGATCAACGGATGAATCGTTGCGTTCATTGGATTTGTATCACTCTCAAAAATTTACTGTCGTTTTGTCTTAATGAGAAACTCATGGCCGAGTTAAATGCGATGCCGAGTGCGAACGATTGAACTTGTTTCGAATTCGAAAAAAGCACGACTTTTGTTTACTCCAAACAGCCGAAAGATTGCCACTGCAATCGACTCTCAAAAAGCGAAGTCTCTTCAATTTAAAGTCCGCCAACAGCCACAATAACATTTCCAAACGAAAAGAGAAAGAGGATCTCGACGAAAGTCACGTTTGTACCTCTAGATAGTCGCGAAGCTTCTTAAAGTGGATGTGAGGAGGAGCGGGGAGTTGGTGCGCCATATATTACCGACAAGGAGGGAATATATATCTGCCTTTTCGCGGCTGAGAGGGAGCCGAGTCAAGTTGCCTGCTTGCAGTCGAACGAAGAGTAATACTCGCGCGCTCGGAGCTGCATTCATCGTGCCGATCGCGGGACTAATTGGACTCGGAGGCTCTCTTTCTCGATTGTTTTGGAGCGAAGCCAGCAATCGTCAAGGAGATAGCCCGCGTACCACGCGCGATTTGATTTTCGACCGCGGCCGCCGAAACAACGACGACGCTTTACCGACTTGCGCGCTCTCCTTTACGAATAATCCTGCCTTATTCCGATACCCGCGAGCTGCACTTTCGTTCGTACTTTTAGCAAGCGCTGCATCGGCGATTTATCATTTGGTTAACTTCGACGTTAATTGATTGTGACGTCGCGTTTTCCCATTCGCGAATATTTCTGATGTGGCACACGCGAGACCAGCGGAAGCTTATTGTTTCGCGCTAAAAATGACGAGAGTCGATATAGTATATATATAGTCCTTGCCGAGAAAGGACCGTTCGCAGCGTTCTCGGTGTCCAGCGTGTAATGCAAGAAAGTTCAATGCTCACGCGCATATGTACGGCTCGTCGCGCGAATTAGAGCTTTCTGCGTTGTTTCGAGGGCCGTCTGGCGGTCTCAAGTAGTATACAGCCGGATGAGTACGTTGTACGCGCATTGTTTTTTTTCTTGCATTTTCAACGGTCTTCGCTCTCGTTTTTCACGCGCGCGCGAATTTCCTTTTAAATCATTAGAATTTCTTTGAAAAACAAGACGAGGCTTCATAGCCGTTAGACGACAAAACTATATTTTGCTTCGAAATAGATTTGGTTCAATTGTTTCGTAAGTAGTCTCTCTCTCTAACACGAATCGATAAACGTTATTCAATAAAATTTGGAAATATGAAAGCAATCAGTGTACTTATTTGCGACGATCTTGTAACACATGACATTTGCGATATTTGCACGTTAGAATTTGAAAAATTTCTTGCATCAGCGATTCACGTAGTATCGACGGTGCACGCACACGTCGTGAACTCATCGAATAGCACATGTCGACGACAAACAAGTTCGAAGCACTACGAGTCCAACGAAAAGAAAATCTCGAGCTCGAAGAAAAACATTTTTTCCGCTGACAGCGTCTATCGAAAACCAAAAAAAAAAATTCATAAACGCGGATTCGCCATTAATCATTCCAGGCGCCTTACGCGTCGTTACGCGTACACTTGAACGACGACGACGACGACAACGAGGAAAAAAGCGTGCGGGAAAAATGGCAGGGCATTATATTCGTGGCCCGAATCGTCCGCGACCGTTCCCGATATTTTCCACGAGCTTAATGGCAGGGAAATAATGCGAGTAGCTCTCTCGCCCGAAGTTTCGGCGCGGAAAAGAGACAAAGCTCCGAGAGCGATGTATGGCGCGCGAGCGGGAGAGTTATCGTAGTCTCGTGCGCTCCCAAGAATTTCAATGCTTCGCACGCGTCTCCGAAAGAAAAAAAAAAAAAAAAACAAAGAAAGACAGCGATAGCGAGACGGAAGGATATTCCTCTCTTCTCTCGCTCTCTTTCGCGGTCTATGAACGGTTTCCCCTTTCGTGCTCCAGATACGAATTATCACTTGCTGCGACTGCTGGGCGGCTTAGGTACAAACTCACGGGCTAGTCCGCCGTTAAGGAGGCTCCAGCGACTACCGCCGGGATCAAAAACACAACAAAAAATAAACTTTCAAACTAACGGCTAAAAAATCTTATAAACAGTTTCTAAAGCAATATTATTACTAAATAGTACGATTTTCAACTACAGTTGGTAACTTTTTACAACAGAAGTTCCAGAACTTGAGTTTGGTACGACGCACTTAACCTATAAAGTAGACAATTTCAGACTTTTTTGGAGAATATCTCAAAATTTTCCACGGCTATCCATATTTTGCAGTACATCATTCGAAAGACCAAGTTTTTATCTATAAGAAGATCAGTTTTTCATTGCGTAACTACACCATTACTTTTAGTTATTGATGAATTTCTAACATTTTTTCACCTTGTTCCATAAGATACTATACAAAAAGCGCAAACTTTGAGATGAAATATCTCGAAATTTTCCACGGCTTGAGGGGTAAAGAAGAATACCGTTGGATTCAGTGCATTTTCACTTATCGAAATCACTATAACTAACATCGAAACTTTTCAATACCCCTCCTCGCTGGAGCCTCCTTAACGCTAATGCGGGGCAAAATCCGTCGTCGCGAAAATTTGGACGGCGCATCGATCGAAGTCCGCTCGGATTCCAATTTGCCGTGTAATAATGATTCACGGTATTCATAAAATACCACAAGTGGCTATTGAAATATATTTCGGACATTGTTATTCAATGCAACCTCATTGATCATATATTCAAGTGCGCACAGCCTTATTGAATCTCGTATGCCCGGTGTACATTTCCACATTTCCGGAGAATACGCGGGATGTGCATTATACAATATTCATTGGGAAGTTCGCGAGTAGCGAAAAAATCAATTCATTTAATATGCACCGACGAAAACAAACTCACGGCAACGTGCCATCGAGATTTCGCTAAATGTCTGACCGTATCGTGCCTATTTCCACTAGGACCACGGAGACTCGCGTCACGGCGGAGGGGCGTCCGACGGGGAAGGCACCGACAGGCGGCTGGCCGCGAGCGCAGACGTCCCATCGGCAGACCCAAGGCTGCGCGACGAAGCAACGGCCACCTCGCAATAATTGTCGGCGCACACTCACGCGTATTATTTCCGCGCGCCCGAGGACGCCGAGCGAAGGTTGGCTACTTTCGGCCGCTCCTCGCCGAGAGGTCGTCGCCGATCTCATTGCCGCGCGCAGCCCGACGACTCGTACTTTCGGCTTTGCTCGGCCGGCACTCTCTGTGCGTGCTGGCGTGCCGCGCGTACGTGGGCATCCCGTCAAATTAATGATGCTCCCGCGTGCTTTACGCTCGCGCCGCACGCCAACGAGCGGAATATTTTCATTCGGCACGGCTTGTCTTTAGTAGATATTCATGGTGCTCAGCCTGTCGGGACAACGGTGGATCACCGATTTAGGCGCGCGCGAACATCGCTACGACGAGACCGGCTGGGAGTCTGAGCACCGAGTCCACTCGCGGGAAGCACGCGTCGCTTTGTTCGACCTATTTTCCGAGCCAAGTACCGAAAGTAAAGATAACAAAGGCTGCAATTTTCCGTTTCGAAACCAGCTCCATAACCGTTGCGTCGCAGCGATAAAGAACATCCAGAAGATAGAGTCTTTCAAGCTCTCTCTCTCTCTCTCTCTCTCTCTGTTATTAACTCGGCATTCCCGAAAAAACCGTCAATTTTCCTCCCTGAGCGCTATCACGACGATGTTTCTTGCCGCGGGGGAGAGCCCGGATCGGCGCGCATAACTCAGACGCGGCATCATCGACAGGTAAGGGTGGTGGTATCGCGTCGTGTCCAGCCGCTCGGGCGCCTGCCGCGAAGTACGCCGAGCGTGCGTCGTGCGCAATAAAACACGTCCCGGATTTATCGCGCGACCGAGGAAAGCAGCGAGACAGAAATTTATTATTGCCGCGACAAGCAGAAGACGCCGCGGCCTAATTGCGTGCACTTGGCGCTTGCCGCGCGCGCAACGTATATATATTATCGCGACGTATATATATATTTACGTTTGTTTGTCGACTTGCAAATGCCGAGCTCCGGGCCGAGACCCACCCGAGAGATTTTTCCATTTTAACGTTTGCCTTTTTTTCTCGTCCGTTCGATCAAGATCCTCGCGCGCTACGTGTGTACATTGCCGAGAAACTTTCTCGTAGCGAAAACTTTTGCTGTATGCAGCGACACTCCGACGAAAAAGAAATGGCGAGATAAAGACGAAGAGAATTGAGTTAACATCCTATTCTTTTTTCGAGCTTGTTCACGCTGATGATTGTTTTTTTGTTTTTATCGAGAAATCTGGCGAAACGTATACTTTTCTTGAAAATTCCGCTTGAAAAACTATATGTACGCGTACGAAATTTAATTGATTGGACAAATGATGAAGATAGAAAAGAAAAAAAAAAGAATCAAAAGCTACACTAGGCAATTAAAAACCCATCAATTATGTATGTACAAAAAAGAAAAATAGTACAGCCGATCGATCATCGCGGACGAGACGTACGAGACAGTAGGTACGGGAATTTCAATTTTCGTCGGACAATGGACGACTGGAGGCTAAATAATGAACGATCTCCAAAGCTCATAGAGAGTGAGACCGATAATCGAAGTCGAGCTCCTCGCGCGTACACGTCCCATTGTATCGTCGCGCGATCCGATTATTGCCTTACCCTTCCGCACGTTCACACAATACTCGGAGAGACGAGGATATATATGCCGCGCACTTCGCTTCTTTCTCTTTCGCTCGCAAAAGAGAGCGAGATGGCTATTCGACCGATTGTTTTTCTTTTTTATTTTGTTCGCGAGAGTTTTTCATTCCGTTGAGTTTGAATCGGATGCGCGGCTGCCCATTGATGAGCTAATGGTTTTTCTACAGGGCCTCTCTTCTCCCTTTATCGCAACGTATATATATTTACGTTTGTTTGATTGTTCGGGCAGGCGTAATTTTTCTCTTTCTTTCGCACTGACGTCCGAAATGAAGTTGTTGACGGATTCCTTTCATCGAATAGCACGTGAGGTGGCACTAGAGCTACGCCATTTCAAATCGAACAGTTGCCTCGTCAACGATCGAAAAGAAAGGAAAAAAAAAACCGAAAATCGAGCGCTAAAAAAAAGCGCGAAAACAAGCTTTTCCCTTTTCACAATCATCGCAGCAGCCGACAAATCGTCAAACAAAACATCGACGGCAGAAGTGTATAGAGCCCCGACTAAGCACTCGGCATTCAAAATTGACCATTTACCGAGCTTTGTCCACCAAGCCCCCCTCGTCGCAGCTCAAGCATTGTTCGCCTGTCTGTCCACTCATTAGCGCTTCGAGCCTTTCGCTTATCTCCTCGCTGTCACTTTTTCTTTTATCCGTCTCTATGCGCGTGCAATTTTTCCCAACGATACTGCAGTATTCACTTTCTCGAGACTATAAATCCCCGCGGCTTTGTCTGCGCGATTATACGCCAAGTTTTGCAAAAGGGAAAAGCTTTCTCAAGTATACGCGACGTGCAATGAGCATTGTAGGGCAAACATGCCAAGTCCTTTCCATTGTCTCGTCACTTGGACACTGCTTTGTTATTGTTTTTTTTTACTTTTGAAAACATTTTTTTTAGCTCGCACTTCATACGGACGTGCGAACTATCGTGATGTTTGCTTGGAAACAGAGGGCAGTCGCCGTGAATTCAATAATTTTCAAGTAAAAATATTCCACGCGGACAATCGCCGTCAACGAAACTTGGCTGCGACAACGAGACGTTACAAGATTCGCGGCCAACGAAGACTCTTTCATTTGTTTTCATTTTATTTAATTATGGCGCTTGGAAAAACACCGGCGTACATTAACTACGTAAACAGCGAAAAATCCCATGAAAAATTATACTCGAAACTGAAAGGAATGAGGCATGCATGATCCCGAAACGATCGACCTACAGAGGTTGGCATGTATAGCGGCAGCATCGACCCTATTCCTCCGTTTAACGAGCGATTACATTCGAATCCAATCAATTATGCCGCTCTCGTGCACCCTTTCCAGTCGACTCCTCCCACTCCCCCTTCTTTCCTTCGTTTCATTTTTTCTCCAAGCCACTCTCTTTTGCATATTCATTTTGTTCTCTTTTTCTCGCTCTTCGATCGACAATACAGTAAAGCGGCATTTGTAAATAGACACGAAGGCATTGCTTGACAGCTTTTTAACTCCGAATATAGAAACAAGAATTTTCTTTAATTGCTATCAATAATCACGTTAAATTGTGCATGTGTGCGTGCGTTCTTTTCTTGTTTGAAGATTGTTTGAACGTTTTTTATCTCATTTTACAGACGCGATGAATAAAATCCGAGCGCAGATGGCCGCCGCCTTGCACGGACAATTCGGACAGGCTGGACTAACGCCATGGGGCAAGATCCCCGAGGGCGCTAACACCACCTCTACCACTAAGGTAAATACACGTGCATACGTGTACTCAAGCCTTTCTCTCGCTCTTTCGTCGACGTTATCTCGAAAGTCGAACCTCGTTATCCTGTGCAAATTTTTCCACGAAAAAAAATGAGACACCGGGGGACACGAGAAAAGAGGCTTTCTTTCGGGGAAATCGATCGCGAGCCTTTGTCGAAAAGCAACTCAGCCTAAGGATCAAGTGCCTCATTGTCTTTGAATTTCATCGGACACGTGCTGCTGCCAATCGATAAATGCACTGGTTCAATAAAACGGCGCTTTCGTTAATGTTTCCTCGTGCAAAATCAATCGTGTGACTTTTCATGAATCGCGAATCTTATCGAGCCGCGCGCTCGCTATTATTAAGCATTATTTTTGCGTATAAACCGACGATGTCACCTGTCGATACAAGACCAATCGAGACTCCATTGTGACCAATCTGACGTGATTACGCTTCGATTATAGCGATTCGAGTTTTTTCTTTTCCGCGTGAATTTTCTGAATGAAGGGAACTGACTAAAAGAGCAGGAAGGGGAGGGCGGTGGAGAAGATAAAGGAATTTTTGTTTTTAACGAAAAGCAATTTAAAAGTGGCTCCGTGAAATTGTTCTTAACTCAGTTTTTTTCTCACCAAATCGAGTCGTTCCAAGTGTTTCGGAGTTCCGCGAATAAAGCACTTGCGCTGATAAGATGTCTGGTTTACTTGCAGGTAATCGATGGGCACGCAGTGACCATCAACGAGACAACCTACAGCGACGGCGACGACAACAGCGGCACCATAATCCGCGTTCGCGTTGTGGACATCAAGCCACTGAATGAGACGACCGACGCGATTGCTGACGGCGATACTACGACGACGACCAAGCCAAAGGATGACGAAAACGTCGGCAGCGAGCAGGTCGACAAGGAACGCGAGGAATTGACGACGCCCAAGGCTCGCGAAACCGAGACTCTTGAGGATTTCAACAACGAGATTCCCAAGAATCAATTCGAGACCCTCGACGCTTAAACGTTTGCGTCTTTACGTTTTTATTATTTATTTGAAGTCTCTTTTTCTCTCTGTCCGTTGTTATGCATTCCGTGAACTATTAGTAATACATGAAAAACGCACATGATACTTTGCCGATAATCATGGTATTTATAATGTTTAATCGTATTTTTTATTCGAGATCGGAAGCACGAAGGAGGTCGAGACTATACTAGCGAGTTTACTTAGAATTCGCGCTATAGTGCGATTTTTATTGACTGGCGACGAGTGTTTTATTTTTTTTTTCTTTTTTATGTTTGAGCGTTGATTGAGCTTTCATTTTCCTATGATGATGACGATGTATGTTCTGTGACAATACTTTTTATTCCAATAAAGTACGTATGTTATCATGATACCCTGTACCTGATTTCCTTTTAAGCGATCGCTTTGTCGGGCTGGCAGTTTTGGAACAATACGCGAAAATGCAGTGTAACAGTAGAGGATATGGACTTTGCGATTTGGCTGTAAATCAATAACTGTTTAGTGGGGCACTTTCGGACGACTGGTGCCGCTATCTTCAGGACGCACAATTGCTCGGTGCAGCTTTACCTTCTAGTGATAAAACTGAACTAAGCCAAATTTGTTCGTTTGTTCAAATTTTCAATATCTTTTGATACAATGAACGAAAAGAAAAATTTCAGAGATAATACAGATGTTATTGAAAAAACAAATTATGAAGTTAAAATTTGGTCGTTTATTCTAATCAATACAAGTCAGCGTCAATAAGACATGTCGAGAAAGACAACAAGAAAGTACTCATCTCTAGATACATATTCTCTTAGCCCTTGCCTGTCTCGAAGTCTTATTAACTTTCCTTTTACCCACATACTCGACACACGGTTCGTCTTTAACCTTCCTATAAAAAGATTTCAGCAATTGTCCATACAACGGGAACATACCTTTCAAATTCTCATTCGTAACAGTGTTTCTGAGCATACAGTTAGTTACGAATATCGTAGCTCTTCGTTGATCCAATTTAAAAAAATCGTATAATGAAAAGCTATCGATCAGCTTAATATTTTTCATTCTTATAATCTCGTCAGCCCTCGCTTGTTGTTTACGAAGCAACTCGGACTGGTGAACAGCTATGTGTAAAGCACTTCTTAATTCTCTCAACATTTTCTCGCAGCACTTTTCATTCTTTTGGTTAACCCGCAAACCAACGTCTTTTAATTTCTGAACGTGATCGTAGAGCACAACGTAATCGGCGGTCTCGAATCGTTTCTCATACTTGAAACACTCGTTGAACGGCGTATTACCCTCTTCGTTCTCAACATTGACATCAGCGCCATTCTTCAGTAAACTTACGACGCACTTACCTCCGTCGCAAATTTTTGCGCAAGCAAGATGCAGCACCGTGTTGCCATTTTTATCTTTAGCATTGACATCGCAGCCTTTCTTCACCAGCACCTTTACGCGCTTCAGCAGCTCGGCCTCTTTACACGCAGCTTCAGTCATCGCTACATCACTTCCGTTGTAAACTGACTTGTGAGTATCCTGGTTATGCAAATATGCCTCGATAAGAGGGTGCAACGCAGTTTTTTCATCGACTTCCCGCGAAGAAGTGACGTTCACCTTATTATTGAGCAGCAAATCGATGAAACCAACATCACCGATCTCACAAGCCATGTGTAAAAAAGTAGAGTCGACCGTAGCGCCGTTATTGATAAGAAACTTCGCGAGTTCTTGATGACCATAACGGATGCTAAAATGCAAAGGTGTGTAATCCGAAAAATTACGCTCATTTGGATGTATTCTCGTATGATTGTTATTATTCTTTTCGAGCAGAGCTTTAACCGTCTCTATGTCGTTTCTTGTGCAAGCGACGTGTAAATAACTAAGTCCGTTGACATCAACTCGGTCAACTTTCTTATTCTTAACCTTAGCATACAGCAAATCAACAATATCGTTTTTGATTTTAAAATTTTCGTTGTAAAGTGCCAAATGTAGTGGCGTCATTGCATAGCTATTTATCTTATTGATGTCTGCTCCATATTTAAGCAAGACCTCAACGTTAGCTTTGATGTTACTCTCAACGGCAAAATGTAACGGCGTGTAAAACGGACAGAACATCGCATTTCTGCTGATTGGAGTATTGACTCTGGCTCCGGTTTCGATGAACTTTTCTATAACCTTTGGGTCATTTCTTAAACAAGCCATATGAAACAACGACAAGGTATTGTTTAAACCATTATTCACGTCTAGACTGCCTTCTTCAAACAAGTGGCAAGCTATCGACAAAGTGGTTAAAGATTGCGATGCTAACTGCGGGGCCGTATTACCAGGACAGTCCTCTGGATAGTCAGTAAAGGAATTTCGACATGAGTGGAGTGTTGTGATAGCGATGAGCGACTTGAATTCCACGGCAAAGTACATAGCGGTGAAGCCAGCGTAGCATGGTGAATCTTCGTTAACGGCGTCATTCATGTTAGCACCGCCTTCCAAATAGCTTTGCGCAATGCGAGGACGAGAACTCGTACAAGCAATGTGAAAATGCGTGAGATTATGTTTGTTCTTCGAGTTGCCGAAATCATTTATCTTTTCTGCATGCGACAATAATAAATCGACGATTTCATATTGATTCGTTAGGAATGCAAGATGCAACGGAGTATTAAATTCGTCATTGACAACCTCGATAGAAGCTCGCCTGCTTAGTAGAATGCTTATCAACTCCAAATCGCCGAGTTTCACTGCAAGGTGTAAAGGCGTGTCGTGAAGTTTTGTGCTTTGATTAACTGCGCAGCTTCTTTCGAGCAGGAATTTCGTAACATCTTTCTTATTGTTGTTCATTGATAGAATTAGAGCTTCGTAGCCGATGTATTTAAAATCTGATGGCAGTATTTTCGTGACGAGTTTTTTTATTTTTTGCAGTGGCTTTTCACGTATTGCCTTTAGTAAATCCATTGTTGGCGATCTGTAATCAATAAAGTATGATTAACGTGTACAAAAGTAACGTACTTCATAGAGAAAATTAACTCGGTAAATTATTATGAAAATACCGGTTTGGTCAAAAGTAAGGTTATGTCAGAATAATGTTACGGTGACGGTACGGTAAATCTTATACCATGTAGCAACACTACTGTAATTATATAAATTCTGATGCCGATTTCTGTTTTATGCAATTAACGTCATTTTTCCGGTGATCATTTTTTCACACGCGCGCGCGCGCGCGCGCGCGCACACACACACACACACACACACACACACACACACACACACACACACACACACACACAAGCAACTTATATTGAGTTTCGACAGAAAAATTCTTTGTGTTCGAAAGTGACGATCGAGACAATAAAGCCGAAATAATTGTATCCTCGCGATTGATGCAACTTTATAAACATTGCGGCAGCCTCTATGCGTACCAGATTCGACTTTTTGGTGTCGGTCTATCAATTATTCAGCTTTATATAATGGATTAATAATTTATATTGCTGATCATGATTGAAACATTAACTATCGCATAAGCAAGAAAAATTCACTATACAAGTATATATTTTAATCACCGCATATACGTGCGCGGGAGTAATTCGCACATCGAACGCCATCTACCGGCCGTAATTTGAGCGTAAACACCATCACGATTCACACGCTTATATGTAGTGTGCTGGTGTGTTGCGCGAAAGCGTGATTAGTAGTGGTAGGGCTGCTGTCATGTGGACGTGTCTTCGCAAGGCTGAGCAGCAGCAACAACAGCTGGAGCTAAGTGCACGTCCAGGAACAACACAATTAGAAGTCGGGACGATGCAATGCCAGCGCGACGACGTCGCATAGGTGCCGAGCCAAATTTTTATCGCCAGGAGTCGTACGACAATGACGACCAGGACAATTTGTTGAAACAGTCGAATACGTTTGTCCCGACGATGTCGTCGCGCGACCGTACCCAGGAGTTTGGCAATGCCTTACGAAGCTTGCAAAACACTACTGCCTCCAGAGCTGCCGTTCTACGCAGTCCTAGGCAGGCAAAACATCTTCAGACTTACTCCGATTTCATGATGATTGCCAAGAATATCGGTAAAAACATCGCCAGCACCTACGCCAAGCTTGAAAAGCTTGCTTTGTGTAAGATCATCGCTTTTCTATCTACTTTGACGCCCAATCCGATTGTTCAGAAATATTTTTGTCTGTATATGCAGTTGAGAAAACTATTTGCTCTGACCTTGACAGTGCTAGTACAATTGCAACTCTGTTATCCAGTATTTAGTTGTTTTACTTATTAGATTCTTTATAAACCAATTAAAAAGTTTGTAAGATACTTTATGTAATAATGATGGATACGTCATATTTGGACATACAGTTTTTAAAATTTTTTCCTAAATTTATAAACAATGATCCTTTATCAAACTGATGATTATTAAACTTCTTTATATCATTTTAAAGACACTAAAACTAATAAGATATAATAAATCTTGTTTATATAAATACATAAATTTGGTATTACTTTCCAGTGGCTAAGAAGAAATCTATATTTGATGACAGACAAATGGAAATAGAAGAGCTTACTACAATTATAAAAACAGATCTAAGTAGTTTAAATCAGCAAATTGCCAAATTGCAAGAGATGGGTAGGAGGCAGCGTGAAAGTTTTAGTTCTTCGAAGGGTCATCACATTGCATCGCATTCCTCCTCAGTTGTTGTAGCCTTACAATCAAAACTTGCTAATATGTCAAATCATTTTAAGAGTGTCTTAGAAGTTCGCTCTGAGGTAATTCATGAACATATATTTCATTGTCATGATGTTAGTTGAGTTTAAAGTAAAATATTTTATCACACAGAAAATGAGGGAAGAACAAAGTAGAAGGGAACAATTTTCTCATGGACATGTGTCGACAATGTTGCCGCCAAATGTTGCTGGTAAGCAAGGCTCTCTACTGCTGCAAGAACAACAGGATTCTGGTGCTTCCATTAGTATAGACCTTGAACCAGCTATGGGTTCACAGCGTATGCAGATGGCAGTATATGACGATACTGTGCGTATAAATTCATTTTACTTTATTAATTTCACTATTATTTCTTTTGCTTATATTTTAGTTATTATTTTTAGGATTCTTACGTGCAGTCAAGAGCAGAAACTATGCAAAATATAGAATCTACTATAATAGAGTTGGGTGGCATTTTTCAGCAATTAGCACATATGGTTAAAGAGCAAGAAGAAATGGTAGAAAGGTATGTACGATTGTTTAAAATAATATGTATTTTCCAAACAACATACTAATGTTAGATATCATTTTTCAGGATAGATAGTAATATCGAAGACACAGAAATAAATGTAGGAGCAGCTCATGCAGAAATATTGAAGTATTTTCAATCAGTGACCAATAACCGATGGCTCATGATTAAAATCTTTGCAGTTCTCATATTTTTTTTCATTTTCTTTGTGGTTTTCTTGGCGTAATCAAGAAAAATGCAAAGGAAAAGCAAACAAAGCAAGACTGCAATTTATTCAAGAACTCTGTTTTTTTATATATTATTTTTAAAGACTTGTGCATGGTGGTGACATCGAGACTTAAGGGTAATTTTGTACTCCTTAGGGTTTCTTAGGCCAAACAAGCGATTTATAAATATAGCGATAAACTCGCGGCATTCCTCGACTTTTAGCACCAATTTCTCTTTGTAACATATAGATCTTATAAAAAAATTAAACAAAAGAAAACACGAGTGCGACATAAACAATATAAATGTATAATTTTCATGGATATTGTTATATTACACAAAGAAGAAAAGTGTTAATAATAAATTACAATTTATTTAAATTTGTTTAAAATCATATTTAACAACTCCTTTCAAAATTTCATTTGTATAGATACACCTTTGATTATAACATACATTCTGTCATACAAATTTTTGATCTTACACATTTTTTACATTACACTTACACATAAAATGCAGTTTAATCATTAACTTCTTAACACTAACAAAACTGACAAAACTCATTAATGAACATTACAAATAATGTGTCGAACGACAGAGACTTAACATTTCTTAACCACAAAAATCATCAAACAAATTTTCAAAAAAATGACAAAAGCTAACGTTATTCATTGTTTAACGTTGTATTTTACAAATTTTCAATATTCAGCAAGATTGACATTCGCGTACAATCTGCACCTTAATTTAAAAAAATGGCTAGCATTGTTCCAGATAAGGACTTGTTATAGTCAAAATATTTGTTTTTTCATTGTATATAAAGAATTACTCGGTTACGTTGCTCAAAGTTACGAGATGGAAAAGATACTAAACTTTGCTGCTATGGTGAGACTTATCCAGCGACTCCCCGGAAGAATGTAAGGAACCTAAAGAAAAAAAATTTTATATAAATTATATTATTTTATTTATGTACATGGTAATCTATAAGTTGTCTACATTACTTTATTTACAAATGATCTTTTTATAATAAAAATGTTATTTTATCTACAAAAACAATGTTTCTTCTATTCACTTGTAAAAATAAATTATATTGAACAATCTGTTCAAAGTTACCTACACTTAAAACATTAATTAATATCAGTTAAAAAAATAGATATTACCTCCAAAGTGTATGTCTTTAGTAACAACAATTGCATGGATATGGAACTCACATAGCCTTGGAGCTTCAGAATGTGCGTATCGATTGATTTGTCAGCGGTTTATTTAGACTAATTACCAAAGCCTGGTCGATAATCGTAAAGAAAATAAACTCAGATTATCGAGCTGTTTCATGCACGATATAATAAATCTGTTTATAATTCAAAGTCTTTTTAAAGCAACTCTGGTGGAATTAAAAAATAAATTAATCAGCTTAATTATTAATGACAATCTCCGAAAATAAATTATCTCGCTATGGTTTGTCCTATTATGTTCGGATTTGATGCAAAACATTAAAAAGTTTTAAGTAATATATTTATCAACGTATGAAAAATAGCAGCTGTGCAAAGTTGCTCGAGCCTGAGGAAGCTCGAAGATCCATGATTATCCCTTTTTATTGCTGCCACAGCTTTGCTAAGTAATCTAGATGAACCGCTGGCAAATTAATCGATGCGCAGAAAGATTTGGAACTTAAACGTTATATAAGTCCCATTTTCATGATTATATTTTCAGCAAAGATCTACGCTTCGAAAGTGAGGTGCCTCTTTTTTTTTTCAACCGGTAGTAGTCAGTCACAAGTACATAATTGGCGAATACTTACAAAGAAAAATACATTTATAAATGTTAAGCGCATCACTTTAAAAAATTAATATTTATGGTTGTTAATCCTACTTTTACATTCATCAACAAATTAATACTAAGCTACATAAAAACAACAAAAATTTATTTCGATCAAATACGAGTATAAACTAAAAACTACAAACATTTTCAAAAATCAAAAACAAAAATCCTTCCACCTGACTTTTTCATCACTTATTAACCCCTTCCATGGTGCTCCAAAATTGCCTCACTTTTGAGAAACGTTTCCGTCCTTGCAAGCATAGTAAGGAACATATAGAGAGAAAAATAACCAAAACGTGACGCAATACTCGTGTAAAAATAATATAAAAAGATGTTAATTAAGTGTTAAAAATAAAAGAAAATAGTTCAAGTCGTGTTGTTAAAATGTGTGTTCTTTTTCCTATAAGAGAGTGTCAATATAGTTAAAGCTATTACTGGTTGAATATCGGTTGAAGTTGTCGAATCAATTTTTCTAACGACTGATCAAATTCAGTTTTACTTATTTTCAAACAACTCAATCTATCTCTTTGAAATCTCATAATCTCAATTACCAAAAATACTAATTTCAACCGATTTTCCTCGTATCAGATCAAAAGCGCACAAAAAAGCGGACAACACCATAGCATGCACATGCCTTTCTTTTTATCACTAAACCTCTTCCAACGTAGAATCCAAACCTTTGTGATTTCTGGGCCTATGAAATCCGTGTGGCCTGAATGTATTAGCGTTGGGTGGCGGTAACGGCTCGTCTCCCCAGCTGTTGTGCGAACTACTGAGCGGCAGCGGTGGAGGCGGTAGGAGCTCGTGTGGGAGTGGCAGATGATGGAACAAATGCGGAGGTGGCGATAAAGGTGGCGATGTCGCTGGATTACTGGCGCTACTTGGATGAGGAGGTGGAGAGGATAATCTACCGCCACCAAGTGGAGTTGGCCTTGAAGTCTCAGGAGGTGTCGGTGGTGGTAGGAACGGTGGTAATGGAAACAATTGATGATATGGTGGCAATGGTGGTGGCGGACCGCCAGGTACGAACATCAGCGGTGAACTCGACGTCTCACCTCCTGGATACAACGGCGTTCGCTCTGCTTCGCCATTCGATGCCGCTGCGGCTGCTACTTGTAGCCCTATTGAGCGAAAAGAGGGAAACGAGCGATAAGCCGTTTTGTTCATTTTTACGGTGTACTTTTTTTCCATTTTTTATATCGCACTTTTATATTGCATTATTTTAGTCTAAAAATTAAATAAAAATTTTTTAAGTGTATTAAAAAAAAGGTGGATTTTCAATATATAGTTATGTTGTTTTTGATGTGTATGGTATTTGAATGAACTACAAAGCATGATAAGGGAAGATTATAAAGCATACAATGTTCAAACATTACAATAATGTTATAAATATATCCCATCTAGTTCAACATACTATTTGTGTTGAAACATTACACGCGAATAATATAAATGAATAATTTTTCAAGATACTTACGATGTATTTTCGTTTCGGGATCAGCGTCATTAATACTCTGCTCGGCCTTGGTAAGACGAATTCGCAACTGGCTTGATTCGTTCTTAATTTCTTCCAAGCGCCGCTCACTTTGTCGCGCCATCACCTATAATACCCAGTTACATTGGTTAACGCGATTCTATTACGGTCGACCGATGTAATGTATATATATTTATACAACTTTTACAAACCCAATGTTCGTGTGCTTTTATTTCAAGAGCTGCTATTGTACTTTTGTATTCTTTCTCTTGATTGAGAATCTCCCGTTCTGATATTTCTAGTCGTTGTCTGAAATTATGATAATTGTATTTAAAGAAACAATTCTTAAATTGAAGATCTATAACACCATTACACTTACTTGTAATTAAGTATTTCATTTTGCATTGTTTGTAGCCTCTCTACTACCGACGAGTGTTCGCCTTGCTTTTCCAGCCATTGTTTTTCCTCCCTAAAAGGTATCAAGGTAAAAATTAAATGGACTGTATAACGTAAGGAATTGTCGTTAATATGAAGATGAAATGATAAATTACTTTTGCCTTTGAGCTTCCCTCTCTTCAAAGAAGTGTTTCAACACTTCCAATTGTGTTTTAGCATCTAATTTCTCCTTTTCGGCTACCTTGCACTGTTCGCTTAAGACAGTAACTTCTTCTGTGATAAGCCTGACATGTTCTAAAACAATAATTAATCACATTTAATAGTAATTAATAATTAATAATTAACATTCAATGGGATTTTTAATAAACGGTCAGACGGCAAGAACAAACCTTCAAGTAGTTGACGTGCGCCTTCTTCATCACTTATTTTAGTCCGCAGCTCGTCTCGCTCTTCAAGAAGCTGCGCGGCGTCAGCTTTTACTTTCGATACTTCGTATAATTTTTCAAAGTCTAAATTTTTTGTATTGAATTTGTTAATCACATCCAACAATTCTTTAACTTCCAACTCTTTTAGCTTTAGTTGTTTTTGCAACGTATTCTTATCTTCAGTCATCTATTGACAAAAAAGAAAAATCTTAACATTTTAAAAATAACAAGAAAAAATAATCAAATATAGAATGGTATTTACCGATTTAACTTGTAGTGAAAGAAGTCCCACTTTACTCGACAATGTTTCCTCTATGTTATTCTTTGTACTTGTTGCAGATTCAAGTTCTGCGGTCAATTTAATCACTTCTGTTTGCAATTCCTCAATTTTCTTGATACTCACAGTGAGATCTCCAGTTAGATTTTCATTCTAGTAAAAATAAACAAACAGGATAATATTAAAAATCAAAAAGGTTAATTACCAATTATTTTGAATATTCTATTTAAAAAATAGTACGGAACACTAATCAGACCTCAAGTTTGTAAAAATCAAGCTGCATGCACAGAAAAAATTTAATAAAAATTTAAAGATTAGAACCCCTAACTTTTTCATAATAATTACTAATTATAACAACAAGATTTTACATTTATGTGAAAAACTTTATATGACTACAATTTACCTCCTGAGTTTTAGTAGTAAGTGCCGCTTTTAATGACTCATTAGCAACCTGTTGATCGTTTAAGCGTGTCTGCAATTCTTCAATCGATTGTGCTAGCGGATTATTTTCTTCATTTTGCGACGAAAGTATTTCACGCAACATGCGCTCCAATTCTAAACCGGCTTCCGATGTACTCTCTAATTCTTTCTCCAGCGATGCGATTTGATTTTCTAGCTCTTCTCTTACATTCTATTAGAAAAAAATAACTTTAGTTTATTATTACCAAAGTGATAAAAAAATTATTTATAGTTTTTGATATGCTCACTTCAGAAGAAGCTAATTCAGCCTTCAGCGACGTTACCATTTCGTTGGAACCAAACGATTCATCTTCAATGGAGTTCAACTACAAATTATTTTATGGGTGTGAAACTACGATCAAATTTCGACTTCACTCGATTCAACAAAATTATCCTACCTTGGTCTTTGTAAACATGAACTTTTCCTGTATTTCAAAACACTCTTTTTCTGTTTTCATGAGATTTGCTTCAAGTTTATTGATTTTTGCAATAAGAAATGCATCTCGCCTTTTATTCTGCGAACACGAAAATTAGCCAAGTTAATTACAAACATTCATGCCGCATGTCGCTGCTGCGACCTTTGATAAAAAAATGTATTGAAAACTTTTTTTTAATATACTCACTTCCAGGAAGTAGTAACCAAGTGAAAATAATAGAGTAGTCACAGCCGTTATACAAACAATTAACAAAGTGTCAGAATTAAATTCTGTCATTTTTCTAGCACTAGTTACAGCATTTGCTTCAGCAGTATATTTATGCAAAGTCTGCAAAGTAAATAAAGATTCCTATAGATTTTATAAAAAGAATATTGTATTGTATTTAGAATGCAGTAATTGAAATATTTACATCATCAGAACACTCAGAATTAATATCACAAGTATCCATGGGTAACATAACTTTTTCGTTATTCCTATCAACGAAATTGTCCTCGGTACTAATATTTTCATCCTCTTGCTTAAGTTCATCAACAATACTTTCGTCGCTTGCCGGTGGAACAGTAGAATGAACACTTTCACCAATAACGATTTTGTCCACTCCGATTTCTTCAGAGTCTGAAAAGAATAAATCTAAATGAATTTCCACTTGATGCATGAATTATCAAAATTACGTACGATCCTCGTATTGAAAACCTTTTCCAGCGTTAAGTAAATTTCGATTACCCAGAAATTCACCAAAGCTCGATGTCGACGGTATATCGACGATATTTTCACGATTGGAATCTATCGATGAATCCACGATTTCAACAGTAGATTCATTTTGAATATACGTAGGCTTCGTTGCGGTGTATCCAGTGTCTACAACTATATTATTATTATTATTACTATCCACTACAATTTTATTTATTTGTTGTTGATTCTCAACAGTCCATTCAGTTTCTATTGGTTTTAGTTCTTCAACAAATGTATGGGGTGCACTCAAATTTTTACTTATTTTCAAAAGTTGCTTACTTGATATGACGTCATTACTCGAAATATTCGCTTGATAAAATGGTTCCAGAGGTACAAAAGATTCACTGGATGGTTTAACCGATTCTAGTTTGACGTCTTGATTTGAAGGCACTTCTATAATAATTGATTCTTCAGAAGTGGCAGAATTTGCAAAAGCATCATTTGCACCATCTGCTTGTTTATTTAGTATAGTATCCTGAGAAGACACAGTTGGACTTGTATTATTTTCAGTACTAAATGCATTATTATCAACAATCTGTTTTTGTCCATTTGATGCTTCTGCTGTTGATAATGATTCCACTATTTTTTGTTCAACATGCAATGTATTCTGTGAAACATTTATAGTTTTCTCATTTGGCACATTATCTACATTTTCCTCGATACCACCTACTCCATCTTCCATAATAATTTGGAAAGGTTTTTCAATATTAGTATTTGTTATAATTGGAGTTTCTTCAACTTCTTTAGTTCGAATACCAACATTTACATTCTCTTTTAGTTCGACTACAACTTCTGAATTTGGTATGTGTATTGGACTGTCTTTTTTGACCTGTGATTTCTCAATTTGTTTCACATTGGTTACTTTTTCTTCATTCACATCTGCTGGCATAAAAGCTTTCTCTTCCTGTATAACTTGCTTCTCGCTGACTTCTTTTTTGTCATTTTCAATTGGATCTTTAGCAACTTCTTTTTCTTTATAAAGTTTTTCTAATTCTAGGTGCACTGATGAATTAGACAGACTACCTATAATAACTTCATCAATTTTTGCTTCTGGAACAGTTTCATCAGATATTATTTCTTCAGTAGTTTTAATAGTTTTTATTTCTTGAACTGTTGCTTCAATTTTTACTTCTTGACTCAATTCTTTTGTTTGTTGCTCCAAGACAGTATCTTCAGTCTTCACTTCTTGAATTGATTCTTCTATTTTTACTTCTGGAACCAATTTTTCAACTTTTTTTTCAGAAACATTAACTTTACTAACAATTTCAATGTTCTTTATTAGTTCTTCATTCTTAAATACTTCCTCTGGTGTTTGTTTTAGAACTGAACTAGATTTATCAGGCTCTTTTATAATTCCAGGAGTTTTTGTAGTTGTTTCCTTAGTCTGAATTTTTTCTGATGTAACAAGATTAACACCTTCTTCATCTTCCTCAGACTCATATCCAGATTCATCATCACCACTAAAGAGATTAGAGAAGGCAGAAAATGTAGAACTCAAAATATTTGGCTGCAATTCTAATTGTACATTCTCTTCTACTTTGGAACTGTCTAATGCTGTAGGGACAGAATAACTTGGACTGACAGGTTCTACTTCATCAATTTCTTGAGGAAGTATAGTGCCGTCATAGATAGACTCAAATGTAGGAGTAACGTGTTCAGGAGAGATAGTATCTTGACCATCACTTTCACTAGGTTCATCCTTTAGCACTTGGACTTTGCTTTCATCCATTTGCACAGGGCTAGTGACATCATCACCATTACTCACAGTCGTTGATTCAGACTTTGGGATATTTTTCTCGACTGTTTCATCTGTAGCAGTCTCAACAGGCACTGTATGTTTCAGATCTTTCATAAAAATCTTATACTCTCTAATAAACTTTTTAGATACATAACCACGTTTGCCATTTATCTAAATACATAGATAATATAAGAAAATATACTAAAGTGAATATCATTTTGAATGAAATATATTATTGGAATAATACCTCTACACCCCACAAATCCTCTCTGCTACCAGCAGCTTTACTATACACCTTGACCTCTACATTGCCAGGAAAACTTAGCAAATCGGGATCGGTTGGATTATAAGGTAAGGTAGTTTTACCTGTAGAAATCATCACTGCAATGGGAATAAAAAGTCGTGAATCAGTGAAACTTACAAGCGTCAACGGCAAAAAATATGTCAAACCGAGTCTAGAGGCGCGTTAAAAAAGAAGTAGGCTAAAGTATGGCTTCAATTAAGTGTTGTCTGTAGCAAAACAGCATGTATTTACCGGAACAGTCCTTGTCATAGCAGAGTCGCTTATCGGATAGCTTGGCAACGCAGCATGTGCTGAAGATGAGGCTTAGGATGGCTATAACGACGAACCTCATATTGCGCTGTCGTGGACTTAGCACATCGCCGTTGCGAACAGCCGCACGTAACATTTGATGATATTTCAGCGGCGGCGACGGCGCACAACATAGGGACGACCACAACAAGATCGTAGGAGACGCATACACGCAACTGACTTGGTTCAATATACGAGCCCTCGTGGTGTGTAACGTGTCAAACTTCAAGACGCCATCTTCGCCGAGTAGTATTCTCTTTTTTTGACGTGCTGGCAATGACGGATGAAGTTAGGTTAGGTCCACCACCAGTCGACCACACATAGAAGTTAGGGAAAGCATAATTATATATATATTTTATATTCCATCTGGGTAATTCTTGTCGTCTGTAATTTTCGGCAGTGGCGTTAGTTTTGAATCAACTTATGTTGCAAAGTTTTTCTTTGTTTTTATTATGATTGCAACGTCAGATAACACACACATGGGTTAATGATGACTGTTTAAATTTTAAATGTTTGCTTTAGTAAATGAGTTTGCGGGTAACATATATACACAAGTTTAAGTCAACTGTTTTTGATATTCTGAAATGAAATACATTGCGTGTGTAATTACTGTATCCTCCTACATAATTTTTTATAAAAATTATTGGCCTAATGAGTAGTGATAATTCTTCCATTTAAAGATTTGACAATTTAAAATTATTAAATTTAAATTTGACAATTTAAAAGATGTATGCACATATGCGTACAGCATCGCTCATTAGATACTTGAAGATATAATAATTAGCAAAAATATTAGCTTTACAATAAATTAGTTAAATTTTTTAAATCTCATAGATTTTTTAAACGCGCACAAGCAAACTTTAATAAGATGTTACAGACTTCTCAAATTATCCAACGAAATTTAGCTTTGATTATTGAAGAAGATAATCGATGTATGTGTCTTTTTTTATTTACATATTTAAGATATATTTGTTGAATCAATGAACGTCTATAATTACAAAATAAGCAGCAAATTTTTCAAGAACTGAACAATATAACGTAGATTTTACGTGAAATGCTACATTTTTCATCAGAATCAAGAATTAATATAGGATACTTGGGTATGTAGATAATAAAATATGAACGAATATTTTTTTAATAACTCTTATTTATTGCACTCGTATTCAAAGACTTCTTTGAAGATTATACAAGATACATCGTTTGATGCTATACAGAAGAAATATAGTTATATTATTTAAAATGTTTAACATAGTTTTTTTGTTGTCTACGTGACTAGATCATCAAAAAAAAGTAAAGTAAAGTCTATACGTTTTAACGATTTCTAATTTAATCGTTACGGATTATACAGTTAAAGAAATGTTTTAGATTATGTTGTAAAAACTCACTTCTTAGCTATTGTGTTTGTGCCACTTGTCAAATTGATAATTCACATAAAAAAAAAATACATTTGAAACACAAATTTTCTTTAGGAAGCCGTGCAATTTTTCTCTCATCGCTTGACTTGAAGCTACCCTGTATAAACCACTTTTACCAGAATTATCGACATGTTAGATCGAAATTAATTTTAATTTTCATAGACAACACAAAATATTTACGCCCGTTATCAAATCTGAATATCAACGTTTCACATTACTGATACGATGTTGAGATATTACTAATTAATCTTCAAGATTTCCCAAAGTTACGGGCCAACGAACCAAAGTACCAGAAGAGAAGCACTTCGCCATTCATTCCATTAAATCGTTTGATTGTTTTTACACATCGTAAAACGACAAAACAAGATTGACTATATTCGCTGATATTATAGTTAAAAAAGCGAAAAAGAACTAGTCTACACTATATAATATTACTTCCTTTTTTTTAGCGCTCATTCTACGAAATATGTTATATATTTTACGTTTTCGCTTCAGAGGTATATGTAAAACTTTAAAAAATAATGTCCTCTCATTGCAAGTATAGATGTTATCGCAACTGAAATACATTTCAATAAAGTGAAATAAACAAACATCTTTACATCGATCAAGCAATATTATAAATGTTTGAGTCAAAAATACGCTATAGTTTCATCTACTGATTATTGGTCAATGCGTTGAATTTTGAATATATGTATCGTCATCATTATGTTATTCGCACGCACTCACGCCGAGTGCACATTTTGTAAAATGCACGTAGTGGAATGTTAGAAACATTGTAATACAATCACAAAATGACAGTGGTCGATTATTGAAAAAATATAGCTTATGCATTTTTCTGCACGACGAATACAAGTTGCATTAGATTTTCGTTAAAAAATACAATGAAAGCATTTTTTATTTGAGAATATATTAGTACGTTTGAATAATTGTCGTGTATGATCAAAATTCGTATTTCGTAGAAATTATTAAATAAAATATTATTACATATATATAAACGTTGAGTAAAAAGTTCCATTAGAACGTATAGGTGCATGCTACTTTATATTATTTTTCAATTTTGTGCATCAAAACAAAAAAAATGGAAAAGCATCTTTTATTTATTCGTTTATGAAAATTTTTCTTAAAACTCGAACCATTTTCGCGCATACTTGCTACAAAGATTAATAAATCAGCAGTTTCATAAAATTAGTATGCTTATTTGACTATCTTTTACTTGTTTACTACATTCATTTTTACGCATTAAATGTCAATGAATTCGAAAAGCTACATTATGTTCACACGGGTGGTTACATAAAATATATGCTTTCAAAAGTTTGTGATTTTTTGATAAATGAATCCAATGCAAAAATACTACATAAGCTTATTAAATCTGAGTATCGAAATCAATATGCAATTTTTACGATAATTGAAACAATTGTATATTTTGTGTAAAACAAATACATTTTAGAACCGCGAACTTTTTTTATTTATTGAGTAAAATAAAATATACGAGGCAAGACTAAAACGAACACCTTAACTATTGGAATGATACTAAATACTTGTAATAATGGTGTGCATGCATTCACATTTATTGAATACTTATATAATGACAAATATTGATTAATTTTCGTATACCCCGTTCTCAACTTTGTAAAAATTACGTAACAGTCTATAGCTTTAAATAAAAAATGGAATAAATTTAATAGTACCTACAACATCTTTAATTACAATCTACTGCTCAGTCAGTAGCCTCACAAACGAAGATGGAATTAGTTCAAAATTATTTACTGATTAATTTTGGAAATAATCAAGCGAATAAGTTAAAATATGTACAATAATACATAAAAGGTGCTCACGAAGAAAAGGAAGCATACAAAATTTTACAGTTTGTACAGTGTATGTACTTCGTGTATTTGTAACAATGACAGAAAACGACCATTTGTGCCGACAGCCCCTAAATGCGAACGATGATCAACTAATCGGTTATAATGGAAAGACAATAGCATTCGTTGTTTAATGTTATTTCAGAAAAAATATAGTGATCGCTAGATTGTCTGGGGTTTGATATTCATTAAAATGCTAATTGCACGACTATATTATTACAACTTTTTATCTTCTACTTCCAGTAGACATGGGTTTATTCTACAAATATCGTCAATTCCACAAAAAATGGAACTCTACACGTTCATATTATCAATCACCGCTCGCAGTATTTCGTAAAATGTTTCGGGAGAACCTAAGCAAATTACTAAATATTTCATGAGAGACATTTAAAAATCAACCTTATACAATTGTTTCTTTTCAAGTTTGCGGCATTTTATGACCAGCAAGTGAAGGCAACATTTTTTTCTTTAAGTTCATATATTGAAACACATTTCCACCATCAAAAATCTATGAAAATTAACAAGAACATATGTTTTGCAAAATACTTTTTGCATTTTTTTTTAATCACTAGAAAAATTCGAAAGAAGTTTCGACTTTGACAAACACTAACAGGCTTAAACAAATTTTCTTTTTCTCTTCCTCGTCTTTCAGCCGAATAAATTACTCATGTATAAATATAAATTTTTCTTTCGGTTGCGGTTAACACTATAAACAAATATACTTGTGACAGCTTAAACAAGAGTTTTTCAACATTTTGGTTACGACTAACATATTTTTATCGATAAAATGCATTAATTAATAACAAACACGTTTACAAGGAAAAGCAACGATATTAATCTAGAAGCGACCGCAAGTATACATAAGAATTGTAAATATATCTATATGTATAGAGAAAGAAGGAGCATGGTGAATACTACTATATGATCATACACTAATTTAAAAAAATAAAACTCTCATACTACTCAAAATCTACGGAGTAAAATGAGCGAATACATGTTTGCATTTGCACACGTGTCAATAAATAGTTTTTCAATATTATTGATGCTCTACTTGAAAACAAAAACTTCCATTTGTCATAGTCACTAAGCTCCTATTTCATTTAATTCAATAAAAAATAGAGAAACTTTATACAAAATCTAAGGCTCATAAGACGTCAACGAAATACTATTAAAAGTATTGTTATTATCAATTTTGTTTAACGCTGTAACTCTAAGAGACTATTGATAAAAAATAAATCTCTGCATTTTATAATTCGTAAATGGCACAATTGTTTCTCGACAACTGTAGTTCTTTTTTCGATTTATAATATCGGTTATTACAGACGAAAATGAATCTACTCGAGTTCAGAACAGTGAAAGAATTAATTCTAAAAATATTTACGAGTAATTAAATATTTTTGTTTGTTTTTAATAGATAATTGCCACAACTAATTAATCATTAATAACGTCAACTGTATCGAGCTTGTAAGTAGTTTTAACTACTTGTTTTTTTAATTCATCGAGTCTTTTTTCTCGACATTTACGATTGGAAAAACGCTACAAATTGACGGAATTATGAACAAACAGTAAGTGTACGCACATTAAGATAGAAATGATGGAATTTTTTTTTATCGTTATCTTGAACTTGTAGCGATAGGAACAGTCAAGCGACTTTCATAAATTGGCTTGTTTCTAAAACTTACTTTCTATTATTATATATTAGGTAATTTTAAATATAATAATTTCAATTATTTGAGCATCCGTATTTCATGCGAAAATGTACAATATTTGAATATAAAAATTGAATGTTGGTTAGGTTCGATACAGCACGTGTGAAGATAAAATGAAGTCTACGATTGAAAGACATCTATCATTACTCAAAGAAAAACTTCTCAATTAATTTTTCAAGTCTATTAATTTCAACGATGATTTTCATTTTTTACAAATACAAATAAGTATACGTCGTAATATCTAAAATAGTTTTTTTTTATCTAGAATATTTGAGTTTCACTTAAAAAAGCATTTACAGATAGAAAAATATTGCATAAAAATTCATATCCGCTAAAAATCGCAAGAAAACACACGTAGTTTTTTCACGCTAATTATTTGTCATCGATTCCATCATCAAATCCCCCAAGAAACAAGCCAATTCAAGAAATAAAAGTCGTTCAAGCGATCCTATAAGTATAGATAATACTTAACCGAAAAACAGACCGGTATCCTTATTAGCTTGCGCTCAACTATACCCGAACTGAGCTTTACGACACTGGCACAGCCACTTGATGATCCTAGCATTCCTCTCAACGATGCTCGGTGGATCTCCGCTGCGTTGGTTTGTCGGGCAATCCTCGTTATTAACCGCCCAATTTTGCGAGGAATTTGCCGCGGCCCAAGACGGGTAAAGTCCGAGTGCCGAATCGACCGAACTAACGCTGTCGAAGAATATCGGTGAGCTAGTTTTCGAGGATGGCTCGGTGATGTTCGCGTGATAGTCTTCTGGTTCTAAACCCAAACGGTCGAAGAACGACTCGAGCTGCGTCATCGAGCGTGGCGGACGTGAGGATTTTGGATTGCGTAAATCGTGACGCCAGTAACGGTCGCTGATATCGGACTTTGAGCGTAGGATTGGCCGACCACGACCTTCCTTCCAACCGTCCGAGAATCTGCAGGAGAAAGAAATCACGTTCATGAGAGCGATACGACGTGAAACGACAACCAACAAAAATAATAGGACTGCATTAGCTGTCCATTGCCAAGCCAAAGAAAAACCACTCGAGTAAATAAAGCCTTATCGCAACACTCTAAGCCAGCATGAAAAGGGAAAAAAGGAAACTAATAGGATTGGTGCGGTTGTTACCTGGAATTACAGGTGGGACTGTAATCCGTCTGGCTGTTACTGCTCTCGGAGTCGGGGCTGTAATGCCTGACGACAGCCAATGGTGGTGTGCCGTTGTTATTGTTGTATGCACTGCCTTTACGCGAACGCTCGCCGCGCTCCGTCGAGTGCTGCGTCGACGCCCCGCTGTCACGACGCACGTGGCTCCAACAGTCCTGAACCAGATTCACGTTCTATTTATATACATGTACTTGTTCGTTTGTTTTTTATTTTTCTCATTTACTTTTCTGACGCACTTTGATGCCTAGGCTGAGTGAACGGGACTGATTCAAAGTGGAAATGTTGCTTTCTGACTTTTGTAATACTATATCGCTCGTTTTAGAGAGAAAATTTTGTGATACGATCAAATTTAAAAAGTAAGAGATGCAAGTTTCCGTTGATTAATGTATAATCGTAGAGCAATAAAGTCTACGCAAATAACAACTGCCTATCGCAGCCTCTAGTAAGCATTTCCCTAACTTTCGAATAAAAAAAAATAAAAGAAATAAGAAGATATCTCGTCAAACGTTTCATATCCTAAGTCCCTCGAATTACATATAATACATATCAGAACAAAAAAGAAGGGCTCACCTGTATTCGAGGCGGAGGTTCGCTCCTGTGAGTACAATGACCTGACGAGCCACCGGAATCACGAGCGTTGGCGCCATGACTGAGTTTACTTGATCCTGAGGATTTTTGTGTTCTACCACCCGACGACAGCACGCTACTCGCGTCACCACCTCCCGAGCCCATGGAACGCCTTATATGCCTCGAGCTGCAACGATTTTTACTGCTTCTTATATTTTGAAATTTTTCGTTCGTACTTGCGAACGAGGTTTAAATGGAATATTTACAAGGATTAGCGAGTTGCACATTTTTTTTGGAGGAGATGATTTATTTACGGTAGTTTGTAGTAGTTTGTAATAATACGTTTTTTTAAGCGTTACTTTTAATTTTCAATCAAACTAATTACATAAGTTACATTAACATAAAATCTACTCAAACCTAACACTCACCTTCTTCTAAAGCTAATTTTAATTTTCATAAATTTTGCAGTTCGTAGAACATCTCTCGTGCTTTCAAGCTTTCTATATATTTTAACAAGACACTTCTGTATTTGGATTCGCAATAAATTCGTAATAAACATTTTCTATCAAAGAACTCAAGCTAAGCCACTTTACATCATAACCCTCCATCCTTGCTTGAGTATATACCTACGCGTATATAAAATTTTTTTTCAACGCGATGGCCCTTGACATTACTTCGAAATAAATAGACACTAGATTGTTGCAAAAAAAGAAATCCTCGTATCTTCTTTCGTAAATAGCAATTATTACTGATGATCAATAGAATTGCGTGTATAATTAGGTTAATAGTATCATTGTCATGCAGAGAATTCCGATGAAAGAATTTTTTTATAAATGAATAGTAAACGGGTCACGATTTCTGTTATGACATGTACACCATTAATTCGATGACCCAATAGATCTTTAGGACAACAGCAAGAGATAAACTTGTTTTCATACAATTTTATCTCGGCATGAAATTTACGAAATTCAAACGATAAAGAGTTTTAATTGATTTTCAAAAGCGTTTTTTTACTATGTCATATTTATATATCAGTTGGACTATGAAATAGATTGTTCTAGCATTTAAATCGGAGATGATTAATTGTTTACGAGCAAAGGCCACATATGCGTGTCATAGGTTAAAATGTATCACCAAGTTTGACTAAACATATTTGCAGCCGAAATAATTATTGAAATTTATCAAATAAAAGAATTCTCCATTCCGAATCTCTTCGTATAATCTATGATTAAGAAGCCAGCTCGCAAATAAATCACAAACATGACAATTCCACAGACTCGATTAATTCGTTCAATCCGACAACCTTACCTTCTATAACAAACGGAATCCCTGTTAAAGCTCCTATCCGAATAATCCGATCCAGTCTCACAATCGGGACAACAACCAGGACTCTGTTGCTGTTGCATCCTCCTCGAATTCGTGGACGACTTCGTCGACGCTCTCGGCGACAAGGATGCTCGTCTTCGAGTACTAGTGTGCAAATCAGGTAGAGATTTGTGACAAACGCCACTGGTCGATGCTGCCTCATAAGATGATGCCGCTGAACCACCGTGTCCCGAAGATGAGCGACCACTTCCAGCCGATCGACCGCCACTGCTACTTGGCCGCGCTCCGTGCGAATGCGAATTGCTACGGCCAAACTTGAAACGCACTTCTCCAGCCGGCTGCTGTCCCCACTGTGTGTGCAAACCAATTTTATACATTTAATGTTGGCGTTGTTGTTGTTTTCTTTTTGTTTTTTCTTCGATTTTTTCGGACGAGTGAAATTTATGTGGCAGAATGTAAAAAGGAAACGCGTGCGCAAGGTCGGGACACGTGTAGAGTGCCTTGCGCGCGAATGATTAATGAATCGAAAAACGTGTCCCCGCGAAATATAAAGGAGGAGAGGACAGGTTAAAAGGTTTCGAGATACCGTGGACCGCTGATGCGTGTGTTTTGTCTTTATTTGGTGCGCTTTGCCGTGCAAGAGGACGCGTAAAGCCTTGCTACGAAAAAGAAACCTGCTCGCGCGAAAAGTTAAACGAATGCATTAAGCAACGGGAAGTAGCAGAAAAATATGTTACCTTACGCGTCTGTTTTATGCGCGCGTAATCGTTTGTTATATCAAGGAATATCAAGAAAATGGCGAAGTGTTACGATCGTCATCTCCAAGCGCTCGAAATTCGTCGTATTGCATTCGCAACAAATGACCGTTCGATTATTCAAAGAGCTTAACGCATTATTACGTTACCTACAATCATACGACCACCTGTAACAGTGATCTGACGGATAATGGCCCGCAAATTTTTTTTTTACAAACTACACGCGTATACTCGCATTGTTATACCGAAGACATAATATAAGTAACCACCTAATCACGTACACCACACACACGCAGTCTACAGCTGTCTACAAGCAAACCACGCATGCACTGTAATTTTAGAGCCATAGAAAAAAAGGACTCTTCGCGTCTTACTTGGAGCAATCATCTCGCGCCTTTTCTAACAAGCTTCAATTGGGGATACGTATTTTTTGTCGTTGTGCGATTAGCTTTCACCTCGTGGCTCCGAAGACTATAATTAACGAAAACGTATAGCTTTCACCTTGGAAACACACTGCGTTCAGTGTCGCTGCATCGACAACCGATACGCGGCCTTGAGAACGTAGCTCGAGAGCTGCCGGCTATCGTCAATGTCGTCGCGAGTGCTCTCTCGATATCCGTCGCTCGCTCTCGCGCTTATGCGAGCGGGATACACGCGTTGACGTCATGCTAAGGGATGTTTCAATAGAGCGCGCGTCCGAAGCGCGAGATTACCTTATCGCATTTATTCGCTGCTGCTGATTGACCGGCTTGTCACGCACAATCCAATATCTCCGAGCCGATTCGTCTACAGGCGCGATATCATCGAATTATACGCAACAGCGGCAAGCCATCGCGTATAATTAGGCCGAACGAGATTTTAATGGGCGACAGCGCCGATTCATTAACGCGCCGCCGTTGTCCCGGAAAAACAACACGAATATTACGGTGGAGTGCGCTCGTACGCGCGCAATTGGCGTGAGACCGAGGCCACGCCGTGATGCTTCTTTCTTTTCTTTTCTGTGACGCTAAATATATAAGGCGACCAGATGATCGTTATGTCGTGTCGGGGTCGTCAGCCTATTTTAATTAGAAAAAAAAGCACTAACCCTCTCGTCGTCCCTGCAACTGGGCGACAAGCTGCCACCGGGTGAGTATCTATACTTGTCGTCGCCGTTGGTCGCGGGCGTGGCGTACTCGGCGGGTGGTGCCGGTACCACTTCGGACTCGGGGAAGAACACGTTCTCCTTGCTGTCGGTGTTGAGCAGTCGGCGAAGTTTGGTTTGCAGCTGAGACTCGTTCGGCCCGATACCACTACCCAAACCGCCGTTGTTCGGCGATGGACCCGAACGACGCTGTGGCACTGGTACTAGACGTGGACTTTTCGGTGGCAGCGCTGTAAGCAATCGTAAGTGCGTTTTTTGTTCTGGTTATTAACCTTTTTTAAAGGGAGAAGGGAGAATGGGAGATGGCATTATGTTATTGAATCATTGAATCATTGACGGTTTTCTGTTTCTGATGTTCATTAGCTTGTCGGCTTAATTAAATTATAAATCAAATAGAATAAGACGTATAAAATTTGGAATCTTATTAATTTAAAAATCGTCTTATATAGTAGAGAATGGCTCAAATGCAGCAGATTCAAAAGGATTCATTCAAGATTAGAATTTAAACGAGTGGAAATAACCGTTATGGTTTTAAGAAACATCTTAACTATTTGAGATGATGAAATCTTTTCTGTAAGAATGAACTCAATAATAAATAGTATACATTTATATAAAATTGTATTCAATTTCCCTCCTATAACAGCCAAATGGTTCATAGTGTTGTAGTATACCTAAGACGGACTATTAACTACGCAAATAAATTGCTAATACGAAAGTAGTAGAAACATTACAAAATCTTGTATTTTCAACTTTTAGTTTTCTTTAAATATCCTTCAATATTTGCAAATATAATAAAGTCATTGATCAAAATCACTGAATAAATGCTAATCCCAGTGGTAAATTTTAAGCATATTCTCAAACACAGCACTACTTTTCGTTGAATTAGCTACTTTTACAAACGAAATTTTATCGCGCAAGCTATGGGGAAACTTATAAATTCATATTAATAATATCGTGTTTGTCAACTATAGCATGGAATCAATACTTTTAATAAATCAGAAAATAGCTATATCATATGAGTTATTGACAGTATTTTAATACTTGATATGTCATGTCACGATATGATCGCACCAGAGCTAAACTACTAAAGAATTATTTAAAAAATAACAATCAAAACAAAACAAAAATCAACGTGAAAAGATTTTTTCTTTCAAAAAGGCAGGAGAAAAAATCGAGCTCATCTCGTTGTGCATAGACACGCGCGCACGCGACGCACTCCCTCGTCATCCTCAGTAGTAAAATGCCACAAAAGATCCTTTCTGAACTCCCCTCTCTATACTCCCCCTTGCAAGGGAAACAATAGAAGATTCGACTTACGTCTGTCGGGAATGTCGGGGCACGTGGCCCAGCAGCACTGCTGCTGCAGAGGCGGCGAGACGACTTGCACGCTGTTGCTGCCCGACGACGAAGAGCATTTTCGCAGCAGACGTGGCGGTGCTCCGGGTGCCGTCACTTGTGAGACCTGCAGGTGGCCGCTGTTCTTCAACTCCTGCTTGCGGTCCAGCACCGTTTCGCTCTTCACGTAGAACGCCTTCGACTCCTGAAGCAGCTCCACGGCGCTCTTGCGTTTACCTGCGGAAAATGTACGATTATTTTGGAGTCAGTTACGAGTTGACCGCGTCCGCCTAAGAATCGCCGTGATATTGAATTTTTATTTGCAGTAATTGGCGATTCCGGCACGCCGGCGGATTAGATTTCGCTTTATATAAATTCAGCAAGAAAACTGAATTGTCGGTTTACGTTACAATGTAACCGAATAAAAGAATTCGGAATGCAGCTACCTGTAAGCTCTTTTTTCATTGATCTAAAGAAATATATTACGTTCAGATTATCCACCGTGAAAAAATATAACCTTCACGTTGAATTCTTTCTAATTACCAAATGTGAATCTAACTATTCTCAACTGAAAGATTTCTCAATTCCGACAGATTTTCTTATTCCGCCAAGCGGCAAGCGCTAATAAGGAAACCGCTACACGCAGCAGTATTCTAGCGTTTCTTCTCCTCTCGCTAATAAAAGTGATTACTTGCTTGCTCGGCAGTTCGAAACTTCAAAGTAGGTATTTTTCGCGCCGCAGCAGGCACAAAGCCCTTTGACCAATTAACTTGTAGTATCTCACGTGCGGACAATTAAAAATTGACTGTTTTTTTTCGAAAAACCCTCTGACCGACAATGAACACCTGTCAACTGAGAACGAAATGGATTAATTGCCTATTTGCCAGCGAGTAAAGGGAGAGCGAATTGTTATTGGCAAAGTCCCCCCCAAACTTAGTGAGCTTGCAGGTGTGCAACTTTAGGGTGACCATATGGCGTGTTGTATATGCGAGATAAGAAGCAGAAAAGTACGTTCGGAGGAAAATAAGTTGAGTGAGAAAACTATTCGATGAAATGCTTTGTGAAAGTAAAATCAACAAATGATTGAACGATAAACGACGAACAGTTTCGAATGATTCAGCGGACTTTTCAAATGTTTAGTTACGCTCTCTGCTTGCGGGTGAAGCGACTCGAAGGTTCTAAATATAGCAATAGTCGATCAGGTATTCCAAATGAAATATCGAAATATTACAATTAATCGAGCCGATCTCAAATTGTCGATTAATAAAAAGTCGTATTATGTCCAAAAGCAACACAAAGGATTCACATTGCGCCCTGTACTTTCAAGAGTCAACAATCGAAAAAAAAGAGCCTCAATAGTGAGGGAGAGCGATGAAGATCAGTAGTCAAAGCACATCGTGGAACACAGAGCAACGTTTCGAAGCTCTCTCTCATACGAGTGTGAGAAAGTCGACCCAGCGGCACATGGTGGCTTTTGCCATTGAGGAAAAAGAAAAACAGAGGAGGCGAAATTTATGCTCCCAAGAAGAAGCTATACGTGTTTGTTTCGTCTTCTCTTTATTATTCGGTCGCGTTTGACGAACGAGTAGCGAGAAAGATAGAGAGAGAGTGAGAGTCTGGGCTGCAAAGCGCGCACACGTGCTCAAAATACTTGGTTGCTCGTTACGAGCTATTTGTAAGATTTCGCGGCACGTGAAAACATTTGTACTTATTTTTTCGTTCGTCTCGCAGCTGTTTCGGCTTGCTTTCTTTTTACGTCGTTTGCTTTTTTCGAGGAGGAAGAGGCTTGATGGAGACGATTCATCGGAGACAGCAGCTTTAGCTCACACGCTGAAATAGTCTTCGAGTTCTATCCGTTGACGTTGTCACGATAGTAAAGTTTGAAAACGGAAGCAAAAAGGGACGAGGCTCAATTTGCAGTGACGACAGTTTTGATTTTATCACGTCGTCTTTAACATCAAATGATTCCATTATAGCAGCGAAGAACATGGAAGATCAAATTGCCCATTTGAATTGGCCAAGCTCCCTCTCGAGAAAGTACCCGAGCTTCTTTTTTTATTTCAAGCATCTCTTGTGTCCAAACAAGCATCCTCGAACGACACTTCGGAAGCGACTCTCGAGCATCTGACAGTAATAAAATATTTGGTTTAATCGGCTGGTGTGGTCTGGCTCAAAGTGTTCTCCTCCCCTTTCTTCGTCTAAAAAAAGATCCGGCGGCGAGCACGTGCGCCACGATTCGGGTTGCAGCGTCCGCCGTCTCGAGATCACGGGAGGATGCGTCGTCGTCGCGTGGCACATGCGAGACTTCCGTTTTTTTTTTCCTCCCCTCGGCAAAATCGTTTGAGTATCACGCTTTCACGCGCGAGAAATCGCTAATGCGATTAATTTAGTTGGTCGTGCGACGAAATTTCGAAGCCAGATGTGACACTCCGGAAATGAATATTGTGAAACTAATATGACACGAAGGGCATTGTAATAACGCGAGAGTGCGTTTTCGCTCTGATCAGTTGTTCCAGTTTTTAATAAATTGCTTGATGTTTATCTTATTGTCTTGTAATTGTAAGGTAACAACACTTGTTATGCCACATATTATTTGTTTATAACGCGATTAAAAATGTCAGTGTCACTTTATTTAAAGAAACATAGTTTAACTCTTGCCGATGATTATCACTCGAAATGATATTATCTTTCGATTAGATAATGCGTTCAAGTTAAGTAAAAGTCTACATCAACATGTAATCTTGCAATGTTCAACAACCGCGATAATAATGATAAAATTATGATAGAAATGTGTTTACGTAATAAACGTCGGAAAAATAGCAAACCACCATATTTTTCATTCTCCAAGGTTACAACAATCATACGCTTTTGACTCCATGCATGTAGCAAATGAAGTCTTCACGCTGTATAACTTCAACGTAATAGGCATATTTGTACAGTGCAAATCACAAGGAAAAACGAGAGGCACGCAACGCAAAGTGCAGCGTACCATTAATTGTTCGATCGGTTAAGAAGTGGCTCGCGGAGAGCGCATTAACGGAGAAAGATCACGAGAGCCGTTATACGTAAGGAATAACAGTCAGCGCGCGTAACATCTGCTCGACGCACGCTTTTAGCGCATAAATTAACAAAGTACACTTTTCGAGTGTGCACGCGCTGTGAAAAATTATGCGCCACGAGCTTGGGAAATTATCATTCCGACGAATGACTCGAGCATGTGGCTGCCGTACTGGATTTTCTACGGCAGTGCGGCAAGTTTCTTTTTTTTATTTATGATGGAAATTGAAGCTAATTAGGTAATAACCTGCTGATAAATACGTCAGGGTTAGAATTACTTTTTTCATAGTCAACGTTACATTTATGTGTCTTCACGGTTGAACAGTAAATATGAAAGTTATTTTTTATGTAATTCGTTAAATGATTGAGGTAACTGAATATCAAACGAAATTGAATATTGAGATAATCAATAAAGCATCCTATAAGACTACAGACACGCCTATCACGTAAATTAATTTCGTTTATGAAAATACCAAAAAAAGACTGCCTACTGAGATGATTTGAAAAGCTCATCTGCCTTTTCTATACATAGAATAAGCTATTCGAGTTCCATCTGATGCTTGATAAATGGAAGCAGATCGAAAGTTTCGTACTGCAATTCATACTATCGAATACTTTACATTTTTTTATCAATTGTCTGTTTTCAAGTATTAATCGCAAGAACTTGGAATGATTTTCATATGAAAAATATTCAGCCATCTTACGCAGTTATTATATTTTCGCCTGCAAACGTCGAAGCTGGATATCATTCGACTTTCATTTCCGTGAATTTAATATCTTAACCCGGAAAAATCTGCAACAGCAATGACACTCCACTCTAAAGTACTTCCCCGCGAAACTTGGCCTCCATCGTTGCCTCGCCGACAGACACACTTGAAAGGCTTGTAAATTCGCAAAAGTAATAAAATTTTCAATCACACTCGGCCTCGTTCGAACTTTAATCGCGGAGGGCCGGGCGAAACGCACAACTCCTCGAATTTTTAATTGCCGGCTCGCGACCCGGACCAAAAAAAAGCCGACGCGATCCCCGATAAGACGAAGAAGAATCCTCGCGCTCGCGCGCGCCTCCCCGAAAGTTCACGACTCGCCGCGAGCGAGCGCACAGAATCTCGACCTACATTCTCTCGAGGCCTCCTCTTCGCGCGGCTCTCGAATCTTATTCGCGCATAAATTTCCCCGCGCGAGCTGTATCGACGGACAAATACTCGTCAGCCGTCGGCTTTCCGCGACGCACTGAGCCTTTTGCGCGTGTGCTCGGAGAAAATTCATTGGAAGATGAATTGTCGCGTACGGTTGCCAGATGAAAACCCTCAACCTAGCAAGTGGTAGTTAGGTTTTTCCGTTTTGCGCAACACATCCCTTTTGTCGAGGTCGGAGCTTCGTATTAAAAGGTGTTATTGCGATACAAGTTTAAGTCTGATGAATAAGGATTGAAACAGTAATTTACAGTGAGTTAGCAATGTAAGTGTAATCTATGAATCACATGTTAAATAAAACAATGTGAACATAAGAAATAAGTATAGTAAAATGTGTACTTTTTCAATTTCAAAAACTCAATTGACCTTCTTATGTGCGGACAAGAAGAGCTACATCTAGTAGCGCATCCCTAAACCGAATAAAAATAGCACCGGCCACGTTTTAGATGACGGCCATGTAGTCATCTAAAACGAGTTCTTCGAGATCAAATGAATTGAATTCACTCAATTTAGTAAATAAATAAAATACGACCTGCAATTACTTTTAGCCTTCGAGTCGGACATTTTTTGAACGCAAGAATTCTATTTTTATTGAAATTCACGACCCATAATCAAACACTTACGCATCGTTCTAAATAAGTTTCAATCTAAAAAAAGACAACTCCGGACTCTTCATTCATTGTAGGAAGTTTACTATATGATTACGCACTCTCAATTTTCGAACATCTCATCTTTATCTCTCTCGCATTTTTTACCCTCGGGCTGTCCCCGGAAAAAAGTCTCAAGATAACGCGATCTCAAAGCACATATCTCTCGCGATAAAGAAAAAAAAATGAAAACAAGCAACCTCAGTCGCGCTCGCACACAGCGTTCCGGTGCCACTGTAATTTCGAGAGACCAACCGTAAAGAAAAAAAAGGAACTTATCTCGCTCTATTTTAACAGCTGCCTTAATTGTCACGTACATGTTCAGCGCTTCGCTGCGGGGTATGCAGATGTATTTTTAAATGAAACATTCGTCAATGGAGAGGAAGTGGACACGATTAAACGTTACAAAGTGAACTGTGCACGGATCGGGTAGGTTTGGGGGTGCGTGCAACTGAAATAGCTGCGTCAAGTCTGAAAAGTTGTTGATGGAGATATATTGATCGAAGCAAGTGATTTGTGGCTATTTTCGTCTGGGGGGAGGGGTCAGGAATTATTGCGTATATTGAACTTTATGAAGCCCTTTTGTCAAGCACTTGATGAGATTAATTATGAGGTCGGGCATGATTGTCCGTTCGGATTCGTGAAAGGCGATCGTATTTGACTTGGGATCGAGTCCTGTCAAAATCCGAGATACGTATTAATCGAGTTTTGAGTAATGCGTTATATATTCAATGTATAACTTCCATCTCTCGACTGTTTACAATGAATCTTGATGATTCGAACGGTAATTGCAGTATCGTCGGATTTGTCGAGAGCTTTTCGAATGATCGAGAAATAGTTCCGCGGTGGCGTTAGTCCAACTTACCGACGTGATCGGCGTGATGTCGATGACGGCTTCTCGCGTAAGCCTGCGGCGGCGGTGGTGGCGGCGACTGCTGCTGCTGTTGCTGCATCTCCCAGTAGCCGCGACTCTGCGCGAAGCTCGTAGGCGCGCTCATGACCGCACCACCACCGCCGACCGTCGTGTAACCCCCGCGCTGCTGCGAAGGCGAGGTCTGCTTGCAGGGTAGCCTTGCCATTGTGGTCATCATCTTTTTTTCTCCCTCCCTCTTTCTCTCCCTCTCTCTCACTCTCTTTCTCTCTCTTTCTTTATTCTGCTGGCGTGTGCGTGATCCTTGTCCCTGGCTCAGAGGGCGGCTTTGTTACGTCGACGCCTCATCCCCTCTTCCTTCTGCAAATAGAACAGCGCGAAGGATTTTAATACTAGGCGCGGATAAAGATTTGTCAATGTTTCTCCCTTTGCGCGACTGACTTTGTTTTGTCACTGTTGCGTAGTTCGACGAAACTGACGCCAACTGAGCAATTTGTTAGGTAGATCGAGGTAAAAGGTTATTTCTCGATTGCCTTGACAGAAAGTGAAAGTCATTAACTGGTACGTTTCGGAGCAAAACAACATATAATTAGATAAATATTCCTTTCGCGCAAATGGTTTTTTATCGCAAGTAAGTAACTTAGTTTGCCAAGTAAAGGACTGATTCGTCTGTCGTGTTTGGATACTAATTGACTGTTCGAAAATAATATCATAGCCTTGACTAAACGTTTCTCTGTCATGTATTGCAATCGAATAATGAATACCGAAAGAATTACACAAAATCAAAATAGAAGTGTGCGATACAAAATCGCTGTCATTTGCAATTCAAGTTATGTATAAGCATTCGAATGGAAAAAGTTGAGTTCGGGTTTGAAATAACTTCCGTGTTCATATTTAAGACATCCAAAACGCGCTAATTGGAAACGAAACTTCACTTTCATCGTGAAACTCACATACCTTTCCCTTTCAATAGGTTATGAGTAATGAATAATGACGAAAATCGTTAGTCACTGACGTGGCTCTGAACCCAGCGGTACATTTTCTTTTCTGTGTGCCGTTGAATAAAAAAAAGTATTAAAAAAGAAGGCGATCGATTGGGAAAGAGAAGGTTTAGTAGCTGTTGAAGTTTCGAAAAAACAATCGAAGCTGATCGACCTTTTTTTTTGGAAAAGTTGGTCGAAAGATTAGAATGATTGCTTACAGTATGTAGATGAAACAAGACGGATCGTGTTTTTTCTCCTCCTCTTTAGAGCTAAGTTAGTAGTAATGTTCAAGTGTGTGTGCATGCATGTATTCGATTTTGTTTTTATGTAGATTGTTAATTATAACCATAATTAAAATGAATGTTGATTAATTGTTTAAAATATATGAGTTTATCATTGATGAACGTAGCAATGAAAAGTGTAAAATAAAGTTCAAATATACGGAAACGTTCAAATATTTAACGAATAAAGAACAAATTCATGACAAACTCTTCTTAAACTTAAAAACGGAAGCTGAGTTTTTCAACGACAATTGAACGGCTCTATCTAGCACACAATTATCAAATTATTTTTTGAACATGAATGTTTCACTTGAAAACTATATGTACGATACCTTAATTGGAATAATTTTTTTCACTGCAATAACTTCAACGTAATAACTCTAACACTTTGCTTCTATTATTAGTTATCTAACGTTTAAAAATAATTTTCAAGCAATAAATTTTAAAACCGGACACATAGAAAAAAGGGGAATATCGTCTCGTTAGTTTATTTAAGACATGATTTCATTTAAAAACCATCATCTAATTCATTGAGGTAAGAAACGGATTTGGACATGAAACAGATACAACTACGGTATAATCTGTTTGTCATCTCATTTTCCAGCAAAGCTCTCCCCCCAACGACGGATAAGACAGTACTCACGAATGCTATAATTCCATAAAATAGTCAACGCATGACTGTGATCCTCAACTAAAATCCGAATCTCCAATAAGAAATTCATCATTTTACACAGAAGTGAAAGATAACGATACTGTAATAATGTCCTTTAATCGGTCAGTAAAGCAATAAAGAGTAGACGCGAACACGCCGCGAAAGCAATGTATACATTTAGCGTGATACGCACACGGACGCGCATAATTTTCCGTTAGCGGTCAGCACTCATTACGCACCGTTCAAAGTGCGCGAGGAGATGAGGGGTCTGCGCGGTCAAATTGGCCGGAGGATTTAACGCAGCCCCGTCTCTCGAGAGGACTGTTGGTGCGATCTCGCGGAGGCGCTACTTTCGCGCGCGTCGACGCCGGGATAGCTTACTTATTACACGGGACGCGAGCACGCCTGCATCGACAACTTGAAATGCGTGCGCGCGCGTTGCTTTGAAGCTCCATATCAATCGTTGCTGATTTGCCAGCATCGACGGTCGGCCGTCTCTTTTTACCGTTGCACTTTTTCCGAGACCAAGCGTTCGTACATCCGGTCGGATGGACTAGCGACGCACATTGCCATTCATATGCGTTTTCGTAGCAAAGATCGAGCTTTCGCTTCTATCGAAGCTCGACTGCTCGGCTCGGAGGAAATATCAGCGAAACAAATAGCTGACAAGCCGCGCGATTGCCTGCAAACAAACGACTTCCATTGTATCCTCGCGGTATAATTGACAGTAGTACTTTTCGCAGAAGCGTATACATGTTTATTGCATCGTTAGCCCAGAAAACTATATCACGCCTCACTTCTCACGTTTCACATTTGCACTCTCTCGTACGCGCAGCCCGATTTTCCTACTTAACAATCGCCGCGTAGAAAAAAAAATAATTGACGTGTCGCTAAGTTGGTCATCCGAAAATCTCGGAGCGGCGAGCGTATACCGAGGTGACATCGCAAAATAAAAAAAAAAAACGCGCGCCAGCGAATATCGAGTGGCAAAGTCTACGCGCGATGTAGCCGCTGGATAAACTGGATCGCCGACCACTGCAGCTCGCACGAGTGTCCGATTCCCTGCGTGCAGATTTTTCCTCTTTTTCTTTTGTCCTTCGTTTCTGTATTTATTTTTTCGGGAAACGTGCTTGGGAATCGTTATGAGGATGCGCGCCATTTACATAGGGCGCAACCACTGGCCAGTGCGCAGCATTTTATTCCACTCCTGAGTAAGAAAGCCACGCGCGCGCCTGCCGGCCTATTAACATGGACGGGTGCACGCCGAGGGGACCGGTTAAATCGACGGCGCGCGCACGGGCGTCTTCCTCTTTCGGACAATTCACTTTCGTCAAGAAACACCGTTCATCGACTCGCGAGCACTTCGATTGGTCGGCGAACGACGAATCGAAGAGGCAAGTGTGCCCGCACTTGCGGTCTGTCGCCTCCCGAAACTATCGGATTCTCGGCGAAAAAGAAGGAAAAAACGAGCGCTTGACAATAAGCGAGCGGCAGCCGAGCCAAGGCCGTTCAACTGGCAATCATTCGACAAGCCCGCGGCGGCGTGGACGTGTGGGCGATCTGTGTGTTTTTTAATGAGCTGTAGCCGCAATGATTTATCGATGAGGTTTACAGGCTTTCATGTCGCATTTCTCCGATATTCAGAAGGAATCTTAAAATTCGGAAAGACGCTTCTTTCTATTTCTTTTGCTCGCGGATGGACAAAAAAATTGTCGAGAGAGAGAACGAGGAATTTTTCTTCTGTTTGGCGGCTTGAAATTCGTTTGAACAGCTGCGGCTCGACTCGAATAATCAGAAAACTTAATAACAAGCAGTTGTGCAAGCGTTGGTCGCGATTTCATCGTTACACGACGTGCAAATCATTCGAAATTATCGGTTTCCCGAAACACTCTTGCCTAGCACTGCGAATTGCAAGTCGGAACGCACTTTTACGACGCACAAAAGTATCCTTTAAAGAAAAAAAAAAGCAATTCCGAGGCATATAAAATAATAATGTTCGACAAACTACACGAACCTGTTCCGAAGAGAAGAATCGCTAGTTGAAAGATACTCGCGACTGTCACCTTTTGTCATTGGAAACGATTAGTTCGAGCAGCAAACGCCGACTAACGACAATATCAGCTGCAAGGCGGGTGTCGGCAGCGGCATTTTCATCACCTGCCACCGCAGCGCCGCCGCCGCTGCCACCGTCGGAAAAACTACGCGTGCGCGGCGGGCGTCGATGTCGTTGCACTTGCGCCCCCCTACGTTGCGTTCGTATTATGGATATACGCGTAGATGATGATGATAGCTCATGCGTGTATCCGCCCCCCTCCACCCCCACACATCACAAACACGAACGCGTGAATATAATGCTTGCCGATGTTTTTTATCCGTAAAGTGCGCTGCTAAGGTGAATTTTCATTTCTTGCGTAAGGGTAAAATTTTTTCACGCGTTGTACCGTGCAGCGAGTCTTGGCATGTAAGAATTCGCTAAAAGTTGCGACTGCGAAGCCCAGCTGAAATTTTTTTCCGCGGTTGATCTTCGCATTTCGGGCTTGTACAATTTAATTATTTCTTCCTTTCACACTTTCACGGACCGTGCTGAAACGTAGCTGCCTGAAAAATTGTTACACTCGTACCGAACAGTTGAATATATCGACAAGCTAAAATGCAACGTTACCTGTTACTGGAAAACGAAATTAGCGTTACACTTTATTACAGTTATCTCGAAATCCATCGCATGAACATGCTACTTTAGTGTAAAGCCCCAGGAGAGCAAATTTCGAAAAATTCCGCACATTTTAAAAAAGTAGCCATAAATTAACAAGCCTCGACGAAAAAAGTGCTATTTGTTTTACGACTTCGCGAAGGTATGATCTGAACGAAGGAAAAAGAAAAAAGCGGAGAGCGGAGCAGGTAGATCACGAAATTCTCGGAGTAATTAAAAGTTAGCTAGACACGAAGAACGACAAAGAAGCGGAGAAGCCAATTATTACACTATCGCAGAGAAGCCTGATTGCTAAATGACTATAGACAATTAACGCCCGCGCAAAAGTTTGTTCGCGAGGCGTATCGTTACCATCTGGCAACTTGGATTATTTACAATCGCGAGAGCACACTCTCGCGGAAGAGAAGGAAGCAAAGTTGGCAGTGTCGACGAGAAAAAAAAAGGGCTGCTTGGCGCGAACGCACTCCGTCGGATGATCGTCAGCCTGCTTCGAGACCTGCTGGATATACGTGAAACCACGCACAACGGCCAATTAGGGCTACGAGCTGTCCGGGTAGGAGCTAAGTAAAAGTCTCGCGCTCTATTGGAATTTTCATCTTCCCGTGAATCTATCTCCACTTGCAGGGAGCCACGCCGCGCGGCACTTCCTTCGTCTTTCTCTACCGCCGTTTCGGCAAATCGACTTGTGTTCTAACGACTTTCTCCGCTCGGTGTTGCTTCTCTTTCGCATGCAA